GGTTGGTGCACCACTCCTTGTCACGTGCACAGCGCAGACGCCCAGGTCGAGTCCACGCCAGCGACTGCGCCTACCAGCCACGTCGACCTCGGGATACCACTTCCGAAGTCGACCTCGCAGAAGCCTCCCCGGCGACCTTCGCACACGTCGCCCAGGTATCCAGGTTGACCGGGCAACCACGCCTGGTCGCCCAGCTAAGTTGGTCGCCGGCTACACCTGACTGGCGTCCCTAGAAGAGGTGTCCCAGCACCCTGGTCGGCGTCCTGACGCCTAGGTCGGCGTCCAGGTGCTCAGGACACCGTGCAGACGCCCTGGACGGCGTCCAGGCACCCAGGGCGCCGTCCAGACGCCCCAGGTCGGCGTCTAGGCGCCCAGGACGCCGTCCAGACGCCTAGGTCGGCGTCCAGCCTCCCAGGACGCCGTCCAGGCACCCAGGTCAGCGTCCAGGCTCCTAGGACGCCGTCCAGACGCCCAGGACGGCGTCCTCCTGTTCGGCGTCCTCCTGCCAGGCGCCCTCCAGCTCGGCGCCCTCCTGCTAGGCGCCCTCCAGCCAGGCGCCCTCCAGCTCGGCGCCCGCCACTGCAGCTGATCGGCTGCGCTCCCCGCACGCCCGACAACGAAGTCGGCTCCACCCAAGCGAGGACGGGGCCAACCACAACTCCCGTTGACAGCTACCTTCGACTCGAGACAAGGGGAGCAGCGGTTGGCGACACTGATTTCGAAGAAGGAGAAATCACGCAACCGGAAGATCGCCGCCCGGATATCATGCCAACGCCTCTAGAAGCATCACTGGAACAGTCGACACAATCACCATCGGCGACACCAGCGGCACGCTTCATGGAGCACGACTCGAGACGCATCACATGGCAGCAGTTCAAGTCCTCCTGCCAGAAGAACCTGCGGAAGAAGTGGGAAAGGAGACCGCAAAGAAAACTTTAGCACGAGAGAAAGAGCTCTACACACGCACGAAAGGATACCGCGCCGACCCCGACATCTGGCACCAACGATTCGGGCACCCATCAATCGATGTGCTCAACAACTGCATCAACGCAAAGGTATTTGCGGAAGACGCACTGTTGCTGCTGGATGGAAAGCTGTTGAAGCCAAGAACCGACTTACCCAATTGCACCGACTGCCCGACAGCTGCGCTGCGTCACACCCCCCTCGCCAAAAACATACATGGAGCCGAGCGATACAAACCACTCGACCAGGTCTACAGCGACGTTTTGGTGCTCACAGCAAAGGGGCTAGGAGGGGAGCATCATCGACGCCGTCACGCGCTTTGTCTGGGCTGTGAACGTCAGCAACCGCTACCTCGCCTACTGCAGTTTCTATCTGTGGCTCAACATGGCGGAGACCCGGAGCGAAGGCAAGAAGCTGAAGGCCTTCCAAACCGACGGAACATTGGAGTACTAGACAGAGGACTTCAAAACCCACTGTGCAGAAAGGGGAATCCAGAGAATGATTTCTCTCCCCTACGCTCACGAGCAACAGGGACTGGCGGAGCAAACCAATAGGAGCCTCGCGACAAAGATGCGAGCTCTCATGAAGCAGTCAGCTGTGCCAACCAAAATTTGGCCCTTCGCGATGGCGCATGCAGTCCGTCTGCACAACATGCTTTCTTCGAAAGCCCTTCCCAACAATACCTCACCATTCAAGGAGTGGACCGGGAGAAATCCAGACACACGCATGCTTCGGGTCTTCGGGTGCATGGTACAGTACCGTCCCCACAATGCCCGAACCGGAAAATTTGAAGACCGTGCCCGTTGGAGCATTCACCTCGGAATCGAATCAGAGTACCACGCTTGGACCATCCTCGACTTCGCCACCCACCAAGTCACGCGTTCACGTGATTGCATCTTCTACGAAAGGCTGACCCTTCCACTGTACCGACAACAACGCAATGCAAGCAACGCACCGGACCACAATTTCCAGGGGCAGCACAGCTACGCAAGCGATGAGGACGAGGTTGACGTGGCAGGACAACAGCCAGAGGAAACAACTGCAGAAGAATTACCCTTCGTCCCCGTTGACTTCGGCACCGCGCATTTCTTCCCAACCGATCCCGATCAACACGAAGCAGTACAGGCACAACATGATTACGCAAGTGCAGAAATGCACTCACCGATGGACGAAGATCCCAACCGCAACTCCTCCCGCGACACCATTCGCGACATCCCTGGCGACGATGACAACTTGGTCAAAGTTACCAACGCAACTCAGTCCAGCCTCACCGGACTTCGCATCCTGGGCCTCGCCGTCTCCATCCGCGGTAATCGGCAACTGGTTGAGCCCACTACCGTTCGCCAGGCTCTGAGCGGACCCGATGTTGAGAAGTGGAGAGCAGCCATGGCCGCAGAAGTTGTTGCCCTCCAAAGGCGCGGCACCTCGAAGGTATTACCACGACGACACGCAAAGGGGAGGAAAATCCTCATAGGAAAACGGGTGTTCCGCATCAAGACACTCGTGGACGGGTCAATCGAGAAGTACAAAGCACGCTGGGTGGTCCGGGGTTTCGAGCAGACACACAACATCGACACGACCAAACCTTCGCGCCGGCCGGACGATACACGTCTGTACGAATCCTAATCTGCATCGCCGCCGTGAAGCAGCGCCCATTGCGCAAGTTCGACGTGTCAAACGCGTTCCTCTAAGCAATCGTTGACGCTATAATCTACGTCAAGCAGCCGTACGCCTTCGAGGAGAACGACGACGCCGTGTAACTTCTACAAAAGTCTCTGTACGGCATCAAACAGGCACCGCGACTGTGGCAGCAGTACCTCCACACGGTCCTCATCGAACTCGGATTTCAGCAGCTGCCACATGACAAGGGATGTATCGGCTCGAGTCTCGCGGGAGCTTCATTCTGCTCGTGGCCTACGTGGACGATCTAGTTTACACCGGAGACAACACGGAGCTCCTTGATCGCTTCGAACGCGACATCAAGGAGAAGCTGGAGGTGACCGTCGATCACAACGTCACCCAATTCCTCGGCCTCAATGTCACCCAGACAGCCGACACGATCCACATGTCCGCCGCGAAATACGCCGAGACACTCGCTATGAAGTTCGGCATCGCTCCCATCGGCATCACAACCCCCTTCCACATCCCTCCTCCTAACCACGAGCCCGACACCACCCCACTTTCCACTGCCGATCATCGCCTCTATCAACAGCAGCTCGGGTGCCTGCTCTTCGTCGCCGTCACATGCCGCACGGACTTGTCGTATTTGCGAGTGTTGCACGCGAGGGATGCACGCGAGGGGTGCATGCGAGGGGTGCACGCGAGGGGTGCACGCGAGGGTTGCACGCGAGGGGTGCACGCGAGGGTTGCACACGAGGGTTGCATGCGAGGGGTGCACGCGAGGGGTGCACACGAGGGGTGCACGCGAGGGGTGCACGCGAGGGGTGCACGCGAGGGGTGCACGCGAGGGGTGCACGCGAGGGGTGCACGCGAGGGGTGCACGCGAGGGGTGCACGCGAGGGGTGCACGCGAGGGGTGCACGCGAGGGTTGCACGCGAGGGGTGCACGCGAGGGTTGCACGCGAGGGGTGCACGCGAGGGGTGCACGCGAGGGGTGCACGCGAGGGGTGCACGCGAGGGGTGCACGCGAGGGGTGCACGCGAGGGGTGCACGCGAGGGGTGCACGCGAGGGGTGCACGCGAGGGGTGCACGCGAGGGGTGCACGCGAGGGGTGCACGCGAGGGGTGCACGCGAGGGGTGCACGCGAGGGTTGCACGCGAGGGTTGCACGCGAGGGGTGCACGCGAGGGGTGCACGCGAGGGGTGCACGCGAGGGGTGCACGCGAGGGGTGCACGCGAGGGGTGCACGCGAGGGGTGCACGCGAGGGGTGCACGCGAGGGGTGCACGCGAGGGGTGCACGCGAGGGGTGCACGCGAGGGGTGCACGCGAGGGTTGCACGCGAGGGTTGCACGCGAGGGGTGCAGGCGAGGGGTGCAGGCGAGGGGTGCACGCGAGGGGTGCACGCGAGGGTTGCACGCGAGGGATGCACGCGAGGGGTGCACGCGAGGGGTGCACGCGAGGGTTGCACGCGAGGGTTGCACGCGAGGGTTGCACGCGAGGGTTGCACGCGAGGGTTGCACGCGAGGGGTGCACGCGAGGGGTGCACGCGAGGGGTGCACGCGAGGGGTGCACGCGAGGGGTGCACACGAGGGGTGCACGCGAGGGGTGCACGCGAGGGGTGCACGCGAGGGGTGCACGCGAGGGGTGCACGCGAGGGGTGCACGCGAGGGTTGCACGCGAGGGGTGCACGCGAGGGGTGCACGCGAGGGTTGCACGCGAGGGTTGCACGCGAGGGTTGCACGCGAGGGGTGCACGCGAGGGGTGCACGCGAGGGGTGCACGCGAGGGTTGCACGCGAGGGTTGCACGCGAGGGTTGCACGCGAGGGTTGCATGCGAGGGGTGCACGCGAGGGTTGCACGCGAGGGTTGCACGCTAGGGGTGCACGCGAGGGTTGCACGCGAGGGGTGCACGCGAGGGGTGCACACGAGGGGTGCACGCGAGGGGTGCACGCGAGGGGTGCACACGAGGGTTGCACGCGAGGGGTGCACGCGAGGGGTGCACGCGAGGGTTGCATGCGAGGGTTGCAATCTGAAAATTATTCAACTACCAAACCCCCACCTCCCAACCCACCCCCCTCCCCCCCCTCTTCCCCCAGATTACCAGCCGGGCGGGGCCCTCCCCATCGCCCCATCTGTCATCCCCATCACATCGGGCGACAAGGTGTACACACACACGGGCGCACACGACTACCCTTTCAATCCCTTCCTCCCCTCCCCCCTCTTCCTCTCCCCCCAGATTACCAGCCGGGCGGTGCCCTCCCCATCGCGCCGTCCGCCATCCCCATCACATCGGGCGACAAGGTGTACATGCACACAGCGCGCACGACTACCCTTTCATTCCTGCGCCCCTTCCTCTTCCCCTCCCCCTTCCCCCTTCCCCATTCCCCCTTCCCCCTTCCCCCTTTCCCTCTTCCCACAGACTACCAGCCAGGCGGCGCCCTTCCTATCGCCCCATCCGCCATCCCCATCACATCGGGCGACAAGGTCTACACGCACACGGGCGCGCACGACTACCCCACCCCGCGCGCCATGTTTGAAGCAGAAATCCGCGCGGCGGTGCAGCAGTTCCGAGTGGCGGCCCGGAATGCCATGGAAGCAGGGTTCGATGGCGTGGAGTTGCATGGAGCTAATGGGTACCTTATTGAACAGTTCCTCAAGGTGGGTCGAGGGTTCTGGGGCAGTGCAGTGCGGTGCACACGACTACCCCACCCCGCGCGCCATGTCTGAAGCAGACATCCGCGCGGCTGTCCAGCAGTTCCGCGTGGCGGCGCGCAACGCCATGGAAGCAGGGTTCGATGGCGTGGAGTTGCATGGAGCTAATGGGTACCTTATCGAGCAGTTTCTCAAGGTACAGAGGGGGTTGTGGGGCCGTGAAGTGCAGTGCAGTGCAGTGCAGTGCAGTGCAGTGCAATGTGGTGCAATGCGTTGCCCTGGCATGGGTGTCGTGCAGCAGTTCCGAGTGGCGGCACGCAAGGCCATGGAGGCGGGGTTCGACGGAGTCGAGCTGCAGGGCGCTAATGGGTACCTTATTGAGCAGCTCTTCAAGGTACAGTGCGGTGCAGTGCGGTGCAGTGCGTTCCCATGGCATGGGCTGTAAGCTGCAGTTCCGAGTGGCGGCGCGCAACGCCATGAAGGCGGGGTTTGATTGACGGCGTGGAGTTGCATGCATGGGGCGAATGGGTACCTCATAGAGCAGTTCCTCTCAATGTACAGTGGTGGTTGTGGGGCCGTGCATGTGCAGTGCAGTGCAATATGGTGCAATGCGTTGCCCTGGCATCGGTGTCGTGCAGCAGTTCCGCTCGGCGGCGTGGAGTTGCATGCACGGGACGAACGGGTACCTCTTAGAGCAGTTCCTCAAGGTATAGAGGGGCCTTGTGGTGGAAGGGAGGGTGCTTGTGCGTGCAATGCAGTGCAATGCATGGGCTGTAGGCTGCAGTGTAGCAGTTGCGCGTTGGCGGCGTGCCGATTTCTTCTGCCATGGCATGGAGGCCTGATTTCCCCCTCCTCCCTCTTCCCTTTCCCCCTAACAGGACAGCAGCAACAAGCGCACGGACCGGTACGGTGGATCCATCCCCAACCGCGCTAGCCAGCTCGCCCAGTACCTGCGCCGACCTGAAGGGGAGCACATGGCGGGCCTGCGACGCGCCCTACAGTACTTCATCTCCAAGCCTATTCGGTTTCTACTGAATTGCTTTCTACCGAGTTCGGGAAGGTTCTGTTCGGGACGCTTCGCGACCCTCAGAACATTCGCGTAAAACAAAAACAGAAAACAATCATCCCCATGAACTTTGGCAGGGTTGTCGGAAAACGACACCCATATTTGTTGGAGAACATTCCAGAACAGCCCGCAAAAGAAAGGCCTCTTCCTCCCATGATCCCATCCCAACCGAGAATATTCCAAACAAGATTCCAGAATCCAGATACACCTTTCTTGATGCCTTCCGCAATATATCAAGAAAGGTACTATCATAGTACACACGATGCCCATTTCACTCACGCCATCTTTTTCGACACCGGGGGAGTGAAGCGTGCATCTTAGTCGCGAGCGTTTCGTCAGGTTCGCCACGGGCAGAAAATGGACTGTAAACAACATCAATGTTACGTAGATATTTTTTCGGCTACAGTTCTGGGTGGCTCCGTTTGTTGTACATCGGAACTCAGGGGTGCAATTGGGAGGTCGGAGTTTCCCAACCACTCGTTGTCAGATTTCCGAATCTTCCCGAGCCGCGAGGGCTTGTACATGGCGGGCGTTTACCCGTCATCAAACGTGAAAGGGACGGCGTCGCATTTGGGAGGATCATATGTCTGCGATTCGACTGAGCATCATGTGTAGTTCCTGCACTTTAAATTCGCTTAAATAGTATTTTCCGTGCTTTCCGTACGCGTCGACCAGCAGCGGAACAGCTCTCCGCCGCCAGCCCGTTCCGGGAGCCCAGGGGCCCCTTCTGGTCTACCTAGTAATATCGAATCTTCACCAGCACGCCGCGCCGCGCTCCGGAGGCCTCCTAGTCGGTCGGTCATGGCTGCCACGTCGTGCGCGTCGCGAGTCGTCATCGCGGGAGATCGCGGTCTCGCGAGCCGCGTTCCGCTTCGTCCTCCTCGCGTCGTCGCGTCGCGCTGTTCGTCCAGATTTGGCGCGCTGCGGAGTGGTTTGTGGGGAGGAGAGTGCAAGCAGGTGGGAATAACGGCATTGAGAGAAAGAACTTTGTACTTGAAGAGAACGGAGCAAAACACGTCACCGCACGCGAATGTACTTTTCTCCCAGTACATCCACTCGTCTTTGTCTTGGCACAAAAGGTACATTGGGAACGCGAGTGTATGCGTTGGGAACACATCACCATGATATTGATATATACCTACACCATGATGGTACCCATACACTATGACCGTAGTTCACGAATCGCGATCATGCCGCACGTCAGTGGTGATCAACTTAGATCCAGTCGTATCCTTTGGATTCGATTAAAATCCATCGTCCATTCGTACCCGTTTGAAACGCCGTCTCGGCAACCCTCATCTCGCTCCGCTGATTGACCGATCTCACCTTGTCACTGACCAGGCTCCCCCGATCTTCCCGCTCGTCCATTCCCCCAATCAGCAGCTAACCACCCCCATCTCCGCCTCTCCCCGCCGCCAAAGCGCCTTCTCCGCCTCCCCCCGCGCATCCGCGGACTCTCCGCCGACGGCCCCCGCCGCGTCCGCTTCCGCCGACACGATCCCGCTGCTCACGCCGTACCAGATGGGGCCGTTTTCCCTCTCGAACCGCGTCGTGTACGCGCCTTTGACGCGGTGCCGCGCGCTGGGCTTCGTTCCGCAACCCGCGGCGGCCACCTATTACGCGCAGCGCACGGTGCCGGGGCAGCTGCTGATTACGGAAGCCACGGCGGTTGCGCAGGAAGGAATCGGGTAAGTCGAGAGAGAGGCGCGCCGCGGGATTGCGAGGTGACTCTGACTGAGTCGGCTCAAAAGTCGCCTCGGTGCCACTGCTGTTGCCGCGGTGCCACCGCTGTTGCCGCGGTGCCACCGCTGTTGCGCCGGAGGCTGCTTCCGAGATCCGGTATTACGGAAGCCACCGCGGTTGCACCGGAGGGAATTGGGTAAGTTGGGAAAGTTTTTGAGGCGCCTCAAAAAGCACCTCAAAAGCGCGGCACGGTGCCCGGGCAGCTGCTGATCTCGGAAGCCACTGCTGTTGCGCCGAAAGGAATTGGGTAAGTCGGGAATGAGAGGCGCGGGAGAGAGGCGGGGGAATGCGAGGTGACTCTGAGTGAGACTCGAAAGTCGGCACGGTGCCCCGGCAGCTGCTGATCTCGGAAGCCACCGCGGTGGTGACGCGGGAGGGAATCGGGTAAGTGAGGAAAGAGGCGCGGGAGAGAGCGGGGGAACGCGAGGTGACGTGAGTCTGAGTCAGGCTCTTCACCCCTTCACCCCTTCACCCCTTCACCCCGTCACCCCGTCACCCCAGGTACCCGAACGTGCCGGGGATGTACTCGCGCGAGCAGGTGGAGGCATGGAAGCCGAAATATCTGAGGCGCCTCAAAGTCGGTCCGTGCCTCATCCCCCCCTCACCCCTTCACCTGCTCACCCCTTCACCGCTTCACCCCCGCACCATAGGTACCCGAACGTGCCGGGGATTTACTCGCGCGAGCAGGTGGAGGCATGGAAGCCGATCGTGAAGGCGGTGAAGGACAAGGGCGGCGTGTTCTTCTGCCAGATCTGGCACGGCGGCAGGGCGTCGCACCAGGGTGAGTAGCAAGGGGAAGGGAAGATGCGGGGGGGAGGGGGAGAGCCGTGTTGGTTGCTGAGGTGCGATGCCTTGGGCGCCATGTGCTGATCGTGAAGGCCGTGAATGCTTCTCAAGGGCGGCGTGTTCTCCTGCCAGATCTGGCACGGCGGCAGGGCGTCGCACCAGGGTGAGTAGCAAGGGGGGTTGCTTCTTTAGCAGGAAGCCGCTTGTGAGGGCCGTGAGGGGTTTTGGGGGATTCTCAAGGGTGGCGTGTGTTCTTCTGCCAGCTCTGCCACGGCGGCAGCGCGTGGCACCAGGGTGAGCAATAGGGGGGGGGATGCTAGTTGACCCCGCTGGGTTGCACTCTGCTGCGCGATGTGCCATGCGCCATGCGCCATGCGCCATGCGCCATGCAGCATGCAGCATGCACCGTGCATCAATCACCCGACCATCCAGGGTGAGCAATAGGGGGGGGGGGGGGGTGCGAGTTGACCCACTGGGTGCAGCATGAACCGTGCATCGCCAACCATCCATGTTGTTGTCATAGGCATCCATGTGCATCCGAGGGTTGCACGCAAGGGGTGCACGCGAGGGGTGCACGCGAGGGGTGCACGCGAGGGGTGCACGCGAGGGGTGCACGCGAGGGGTGCACGCGAGGGGTGCACGCGAGGGGTGCACGCGAGGGGTGCACGCGAGGGGTGCATGCGAGGGGTGCATGCGAGTGGTGCACGCGAGGGGTGCACGCGAGGGGTGCACGCGAGGGGTGCACGCGAGGGTTGCACGCGAGGGGTGCATGCGAGGGGTGCACGCGAGTGTTGCACGCGAGGGTTGCATGCGAGTGTTGCACGCGAGGGGTGCACGCGAGGGGTGCACGCGAGGGTTGCACGCGAGGGGTGCACGCGAGTGTTGCACGCGAGGGTTGCACGCGAGGGGTGCACGCGAGGGGTGCACGCGAGTGTTGCACGCGAGGGGTGCGCGCGAGGGTTGCATGCGAGGGTTGCATGCGAGGGGTGCACGCGAGGGGTGCATGCGAGGGTTGCATGCGAGGGGTGCACGCGAGGGGTGCACGCGAGGGGTGCACGCGAGGGGTGCGCGCGAGGGGTGCGCCCGAGGGGTGCCCGCGAGGGGTGCACGCGAGGGGTGCACGCGAGGGGTGCACGCGAGGGTTGCACGCGAGGGTTGCACGCGAGGGTTGCACGCGAGGGGTGCACGCGAGGGGTGCACGCGAGGGGTGCACGCGAGGGGTGCACGCGAGGGGTGCACGCGAGGGGTGCACGCGAGGGGTGCAGGCGAGTGGTGCAGGCGAGTGGTGCAGGCGAGTGTTGCACGCGAGGGGTGCACGCAAGGGGTGCACGCGAGGGTTGCACGCGAGGGTTGCACGCGAGGGTTGCACGCGAGGGTTGCACGCGAGGGTTGCACGCGAGGGTTGCACGCGAGGGTTGCACGCGAGGGGTGCACGCGAGGGGTGCACGCGAGGGGTGCACGCGAGGGGTGCACGCGAGGGGTGCACGCGAGGGGTGCACGCGAGGGGTGCACGCGAGGGGTGCACGCGAGGGGTGCACGCGAGGGGTGCACGCGAGGGGTGCACGCGAGGGGTGCACGCGAGGGGTGCACGCGAGGGGTGCACGCGAGGGGTGCACGCGAGGGGTGCACGCGAGGGTTGCACGCGAGGGGTGCACGCGAGGGGTGCACGCGAGGGGTGCACGCGAGGGGTGCACGCGAGGGGTGCACGCGAGGGGTGCACGCAAGGGGTGCACGCGAGGGGTGCACGCTAGGGGTGCACGCGAGGGGTGCACGCGAGGGGTGCACGCGAGGGGTGCACGCGAGGGGTGCACGCGAGGGGTGCACGCGAGGGGTGCACGCGAGGGGTGCACGCGAGGGGTGCACGCGAGGGGTGCACGCGAGGGGTGCACGCGAGGGGTGCACGCGAGGGTTGCACGCGAGGGTTGCACGCGAGGGTTGCACGCGAGGGTTGCACGCGAGGGTTGCACGCGAGGGTTGCACGCGAGGGGTGCACGCGAGTGTTGCACGCGAGTGTTGCACGCGAGGGGTGCACGCGAGGGTTGCACGCGAGGGTTGCACGCGAGGGTTGCACGCGAGGGTTGCACACGAGGGGTGCACGCGAGGGGTGCACGCGAGGGGTGCACGCGAGGGTTGCACGCGAGGGGTGCACGCGAGGGGTGCACGCGAGGGGTGCACGCGAGGGGTGCACGCGAGGGTTGCACGCGAGGGTTGCACGCGAGGGTTGCACGCGAGGGTTGCACGCGAGGGGTGCACGCGAGGGGTGCACGCGAGGGGTGCACGCGAGGGGTGCACGCGAGGGGTGCACGCGAGGGGTGCACGCGAGTGTTGCACGCGAGGGGTGCACGCGAGGGTTGCACGCGAGGGGTGCACGCGAGGGTTGCACGCGAGGGGTGCACGCGAGGGGTGCACGCGAGGGGTGCACGCGAGGGTTGCACGCGAGGGTTGCACGCGAGGGGTGCACGCGAGGGGTGCACGCGAGGGGTGCACGCGAGGGGTGCACGCGAGGGGTGCACGCGAGGGGTGCACGCGAGGGGTGCACGCGAGGGGTGCACGCGAGGGGTGCACGCGAGGGGTGCACGCTAGGGGTGCACGCGAGGGGTGCACGCGAGGGGTGCACGCGAGGGGTGCACGCGAGGGTTGCACGCGAGGGTTGCACGCGAGGGTTGCACGCGAGGGTTGCACGCGAGGGGTGCACGCGAGGGGTGCATGCGAGGGGTGCATGCGAGGGGTGCATGCGAGGGTTGCATGCTACCAACTCCCCCCCCCCCCCCCCTCTCCCCCCAGATTACCAGCCGGAAGGCGCCCTCCCCATCGCGCCGTCCGCCATCCCCATCACATCGGGCGACAAAGTCTACACACACACGGGCGCGCACGACTACCCCACTCCGCGCTCCATGTCAGAAGCAGACATCCGTGCGGCCCCATTCGCCCTTCGTCCCTCTCACTCTCTCTGTCCCTCCCTCGTTCTGTCCCTCTCCCTCTCTCGCTCTCTCCCCCCATCCCTCCCTCCCCCTTCCCCCCCACAGACTACCAACCAGGCGGCGCCCTCCCCATCGCACCGTCCGCCATCCCCATCACATCGGGCGACAAGGTGTACACACACACGGGCGCGCACGACTACCCCACTCCGCGCGCCATGTCTGAGGCGGATATTCGCGCAGCTGTCCAGCAGTTCCGCGTGGCGGCGCGCAACGCCATGGAAGCGGGGTTCGACGGCGTGGAATTGCATGGAGCTAACGGGTACCTCATTGAACAGTTCCTCAAGGTGGGTCGAGGGTTCTGGGGCAGTGCAGTGCAGTGCGGTGCAGTGCGGTGCACACGACTACCCCACCCCGCGCGCCATGTCGGAAGCGGACATCCGCGCGGCCGTGCAGCAGTTCCGAGTGGCGGCGCGCAATGCCATGGAAGCGGGGTTTGATGGAGTCGAGCTGCATGGGGCGAATGGGTACCTCATAGAGCAGTTTCTCAAGGTAGAGTGGGGCCTAGTGGGCTATGCTGAACCTGATTCTTGGAGAATTCTAAAAAAACAAGCTGCATGGGGCGAATGGGTACCTCATTGGGCATGCAATGTTCTCAGGGTACAGTGCGACCATGTGGTGGAAAGGAGGGGGCTTGTGCTTGTGCATGCAATGCATGGGCTGCAGGCTGCCGTACAGCCTTTCCCCCTTCCGCATGGCCTGCTTTCCCCCTCCTCCCTCTTCCCTTTCCCTTTCCCCCTTCCACTCCCTCCCCCCGAACAGGACAGCAGCAACAAGCGCACGGACCGATACGGCGGCTCCGTCCCCAACCGCGCGCGCTTCCTGGTCGAAGTCGCATCCGCCGTGGCAGAAGAGATCGGGGCGCTGTGCGTGGGCGTGCGGCTGTCGCCGTTCTCAACGGTGCTGTCGGCGGTGGATTCGTCCCCATTCGCCACGTTTGTGCATGCCACGCAGTGCCATCCCTTCATTTCCAACTGCCCTCCCTTGTCCCCCTTGTCCCTTACCCATTACACCGAACAGGACAGCAGCAACAAGCGCACCGACCGGTATGGGGGGTCCATCCCCAACCGCGCACGCTTCCTGGTCGAAGTCGCATCCGCCGTAGCCGAAGAGATCGGGCCGCTGCGCGTGGGAGTGCGGCTGTCACCATTCTCAGCGGCGCTGTCAGCAGTAGACTCGGCCCCCGTGGCCACGTTTGTGCATGCCACGCAGTGCCTCAACGACCTGGGGCTGCTGTACCTTCAACTCATGGAGGCCCGGCTGGATCGAGAGGGGGAGGCTATTAATGATGGGGAGGTGAGTGGGTGGCGTGTGAGGCTGGCTGTGGAGGTGGAATTTTGGGAATGGATGGGTGGAATCTCTTGTTCTGCCCTTTCTCTTGTCCTGCCCTTTCTCTTGTCCTGCCCTTTCTCTTGTCCCGCCCTTTCTCTTGTCCCGCCCTTTCTCTTGTCCCGCCCTTTCTCTTGTCCCACCCTTTCTCTTGTCCCGCCCTTTCTCTTGTCCTGCCCTTTCTTTTGTCCCGCCCTTTCTCTTGTCCCGCCCTTTCTCTTGTCCAGCCCTTTCTCTTGTCCCGCCCTTTCTCTTGTCCTGCCCTTTCTCTTGTCCTGCCCTTTCTCTTGTCCCGCCCTTTCTCTTGTCCTGCCCTTTCTCTTGTCCTGCCCTTTCTCTTGTCCCGCCCTTTCTCTTGTCCCGCCCTTTCTCTTGTCCCGCCCTTTCTCTTGTCCCGCCCTTTCTCTTGTCCCGCCCTTTCTCTTGTCCTGCCCTTTCTTTTGTCCCGCCCTTTCTCTTGTCCCGCCCTTTCTCTTGTCCAGCCCTTTCTCTTGTCCCGCCCTTTCTCTTGTCCTGCCCTTTCTCTTGTCCTGCCCTTTCTCTTGTCCCGCCCTTTCTCTTGTCCTGCCCTTTCTCTTGTTCTGCCCTTTCTCTTGTCCTGCCCTTTCTCTTGTCCCGCCCTTTCTCTTGTCCTGCCCTTTCTCTTGTCCTGCCCTTTCTCTTGTCCTGCCCTTTCTCTTGTCCTGCCCTTTCTCTTGTCCTGCCCTTTCTCTTGTCCTGCCCTTTCTCTTGTCCTGCCCTTTCTCTTGTTCTGCCCTTTCTCTTGTCCTGCCCTTTCTCTTGTCCCGCCCTTTCTCTTGTCCTGCCCTTTCTCTTGTCCCGCCCTTTCTCTTGTCCTGCCCTTTCTCTTGTCCTGCCCTTTCTCTTGTCCTGCCCTTTCTCTTGTCCTGCCCTTTCTCGTGTCCTGCCCTCTCTCTTGTCCTGCCTTTTCTCTCTCCCTGTGCCACAAGTCATGCATCGACTCTCTCTCTTGTGCGTGCAGTCCCTAGAGCCGTTTCGCCGGGCCTTCAGCAACACGCTCATCAAAGCAGGCGGACACACAGTGAGTGGGGAGGTGCCAGGGACGTGGTATGGGGTGAGGGGTTTGGGTTATGTGGTGTGGGGTAGTGGTGTGGGGTAAGTGGTTTGGAATAAGTGGTAAGGGGTAAGTGGAATGTGGTTGGTGGTAATAACGTCTCAGAAACCTAACTAAGCCAGACACTTTGAGGAATGGACCGAGCCATTGCAAGCTGACTAGGATGCATGTTCCTTCCTATCACGCAAACTCGGCCATTCTTTCACGAGATATACCGGTAAGCAGTATTCTGAGGCACCTGAAAGAAACAAACAGAAAGGTGTGTTGCCACAAGGTACTGTACAAACAGAGAGCATCATAATTCATGTGTCATGTCATGACTACAGGTGGAAAGGAAACCTTAGCTGGTGGTGCTGGTACCTGCCAACCTTTAACCTATAACGGTACTGCTGGCGCAACAGTGAAATAATCCTTTATCTCCCTGCCATCCCAACCACCCCCCCCCCCCCCTTCAGCGCGAGTCTGGAAACATTGCCATTGCCAGCGGTGCAGCTGACTTGGTGGCATACGGCCGCACGTTCCTGGCCAATCCCGACCTGCCACGTCGCTTTGCCCTGAATGCTCCACTGAATCCTTATGATAGGGAAACCTTCTACACCCCTGACCAAGCCAAGGGGTACACAGATTACCCGTTTCTAGAAGACAAGGCCCGAGGATGAGGATGTTGTACTAGTGCATGATTGGTCCAGGGGGAGACATGATGGAAGCATGTTTTATTTGTACCTGGTTCGTTGTGGACGCAGTATCACAGCTGTAACAAATGCATAATGGCTTAAAATTGTATAATTGCGGTTCTACCATCAGTAGAGGCCAAGCAAATACTACTCGTATTATAATGGTTCTACCTTCACGAACAGCTACGAATTGCATCAGTTTAGTTTAGAAGTTTCGTGCATCCCCTTGGGCAATGGCAGTGAGCAAGTGCAATGGTTGGAACTTTGTACCGAGCATTCCTGCAGCGAATCACATTATGTTGAGCCACATTTTTGGTCGAACCAGCAGCGAGTGATGAGATGATGCATGCTCCCCAACCCTCGCACACACCATCATCCTGGAGCAGCCATCCAGTCCACAATCGCAGATTTCGTAAAAGCACAGCTCAGTATCGAGTCACTTGCTGGTAACCACTGCCATCGAAATCCAATCTGCTGATACGACGTTCGTCAGAACCACAACCCGAAACAGAACGAAACATGGCAACGCGCTTTCACTCCCCTCCACGCCGCATGTCATTATTCCAGCCAGCCATGATGTCACTGTACACTACAGACTCGACACGAACGAACTCTGAAGCCCATCCCACAACAACACCCAACCTAACCACACCACAGAAAACCAGAACGACCCAGGTCAAATGACATCAAACCATTTCGTATTTGCCCCAGTTCCCAAGGTCCAAGACCATGCGTATCATGTAAAATCGAGGCTGCTTCTTCCATCCAGCCCGAATACCGAGGAAATGACGGATCGCCCTGTTTTCAAGTTTCCGTTTCCTTTGGGCAGTGGCTTTGACACCGCCTTGCTTCTCCGCTCGCTTCCGATTCCTTGGGGCAGCTGATTTCGACATTTAAAATTTCCTGTGACCAGGGAAATTCTGAAGATTACCTGGTTTTAGTTTAGTGGCCAGTGGATAAAATAAACCCCTCTCGGATGGCTGGCCATTTGTGAGGCATCAATCCTAAACACCTTGCCTCATGGTGTTTAGGGTTGATGCCTCCCAAATGGCATGCCCTCCATGAGGGGTATATATGTTTTGTCCCGAGCTTCTCGTAATTGACAAGACAATTCAATTTATGATATTCCAATAAATAAAACACAATATTAGTCTCTGGACTCGAAAAGGGGCAATAGCGTAAATAACTGACCGAAGGTATCGGACGCGAGCGCAAAGCAAGGCGGTGTCAAAACTACTGCCGAAAGAAATCGAAAACCCGAAACCAGGGCGGTCCGTCATTCCCTCCCGAATACCGCTGTCATGTCATCCTCCCCTGCTCTTCTGTTGGGGGACGCATCGCACCCTAGAACTCCTCCTTTATCGCACTGTGCACCTTTCGGCTGGCTGCTTTCTGCTCACTGCTCAGCTAAATTAGCAGAACGAATGAACCACCACCCTCTTCTCCTCCTTCCCCGTCCGCCCTACCTAATCCCACCGACCCCATCCACCCCATGACATACCACAAACACCTGGCGTAACGCCACGTGTACGCGTCCTGGTGCCATGTCATGCTGCTCTCTCTACTCTCGTTTAAGTCTCCCTCGGCCTCCACCGCCTCCTCACCTCCTTTCTATCAACTTCCGTGAAGCATATTTTGAAACTTTCCGTTTCTCGGCAACGCTTAATCCTCGTCGCGACGACCAGTGGTAACACTCTTGACAACGCGTCGCCGCCATTCTTAAAGCGACGGGCAACTTTTGGCAGTGTTGGGTTCAGAAGTTTTTTTTTTGAACCAGGCTTGCCAGCGCGAAAGTGCTGGCTGGCGAAAACCAGGATTTCGTGCGGACACTTTCCATCCGCAGTAACAGTTCGCCAGGGTTCTGGGTTTTGGGTGGCAAATGTGCACCGTCGCTTTAACGTCCGGCCTCGTTCCGTCCCGTCCCTTTCCGTCCCTTCGCTCCGCTGTCCTTCGGTAACCGCGTTTCACGGCCAACGCTAGAAGAATCTGGCTTTGGAGCGAGTCTGCACTGCACGTACCGTCGCGCCGCGGGTGCATCCGCCATGCATCCGTCGCGAGTCAGCACGCGCGTGCAGCACGGGGAGCCCCACGTCCCGTACACACCCGTCGGAGCCTACTTCGAGTCATCGCAATCTCAACTTCAGAGCCACACGTCTTACGCGTCTGCTGGGGGTTATTCTCTCGTCGACGCTGCTTCTCGCGACGCATCCTTGTCCTGTAACCCTACCTTCGGCGAACAGCCGGTTTCGCGCGAGCCGGGTAACCCTACCCATCGCGAAGAATCACCTTCGCACGAGCGACTTCGCCCGCGTAGCCGATCGGTTCGGCCATCAAAGAACCCTCCGAAGAGCGATGACTATGGCAACTCTTATTCTTCTCACGTCAGACCTTCCTATCCTCGCGGGAACTCCATAGCAGCAACTGAATCCTCTCATGCCCATCCTTCTGCTGATCCTCATCCTTATCCTGAACCTCACTCCCGCCATTCCCCGCAACAAATCCACCGTAGTCGGAGCGACTCGTCCACTTCCCCTGGGGCTCATTCCGCCACCGCTTTCCGCCCCCCTTCCGCGCACACGTGCCTGCGCGCTGACCTTTCCGCGTCCGGCTCCGCCGTCGACTCCGCCACCAAAGTCCGCCTTCCGCCCGGGGAGGCCGCGGCGCTGCGGAGAAACCTTCCGCCGATCCCCGGACTGGCGGAAAGCCTGCGCGGCGGCGGAGTTGGGGGGCATGCGGGGGAGGGGGAGGGGGAGGGGGATGGCGCGCGGATGGCGTGGCAGGTCCGCGGAGGTGCAGGCTTTAGCGCGGAGTTCGAGGAGATGCGGCGGCGGCGGTACGCGCAGCGGCTGGCGCAGGAAGCGGAAGGCGCGGGGAACTCGCAGGCGGACGCGCGGGGGATACTAGCGAGCGTGCGGGAGCCGAGCGAACCTGGCGCAGCGGCAGCTAGTAATAGGGAAGAGAATGTGGCAATTTATGTAGACGCAGGGGACTCAGGGTCAGCGTCAGAGGCGCTTCGCAAAGATGAGAGCAGCGTGGGTTACGGCGTGGGGCACGGCGTAGGGCGCGGCGCAGCGCACGGGGAGAGAGTTAGAAGCGCGAGTGGAGGGGCCGATTGGGGAGCGGCGGAAAGGGGAAGGGGAGACTGGGGGAATGGGGGTGAAGCGCCTGGCGTGGCGGAAAGACGGGGACGGGGGGGAGTTAGAAGCGGGGGCGATGAGATGGGGAGATATGAGTGGAATAGAGAAGCAGGGAGGAGAGAAGATGGGAGCAGAGAAGAGGGGACGAGAGATGATTGGTGTAGAGAAGAGGGGAGAAGAGCTCCTGGATTGAGAGAGGAGGGTAATCGGTTTGGTGCGGTTGAGACGTCTGGCAATGGTGGAAGGGAGGGTATAGACGTTGAAATACGCAGGGGAGGAGGGAACGGCCGCGGGGGTTTGCTGATAGGCGGAGGACAGGCGGAGGGAATGGGACGAGAAACGTCAAGGAAAACGAGTGGAAGCAAGGTGAGAAGGGGAGGAATGAGGAAATGGGTATGGTGAGGAAATGGGTATGGGTTGGTTGGAGGGAGTAGGAAGAGGGTTTGAAGGGGTGAAGATTATTCACCTTAGAGAATAGGAAGGAAGGGAGGGGTTGAAGGGCGGGTGATCAGGGGAGAGGGATTGGATAAGGGTGGGGGGCCTCCATCCGCTTCCAGCCACTCATATTCCATTACCCTGTTCCTTTACCCCTCCCCTGTCTCTCCTCTTTCCCTCGTCTTTCCGTCCGCCTTCCCTCCTCACGCTTCCCTTTTCTTCCACCCGTTCCCTGTCCCCCCCTCCTTCCCCTTCAACCCCTCCTCCCCCTCCCCCCCCTCACCTGTACAGGTGGAGTTCCAGTTGCCTCTCTCAGTCCCTCCCCACCTCCCTCACGATGAACCCGCCACACCCTCTCTCGCCCACCCTCCCTCCCGCGCTCCAGCATCCCCCTCTCCTCCCGCTCCCCTCTTCCCACGAGACCCCTCCCCAGCCCATCCGCTCCACCACCCCCCTCGCTCCCCCATACCACACGCCGTCACAGAGCCACGCTCACTCTCCCGCCCTCAGTCCCGGCACACCTCCCCCCTGCGCTCCTCCTCTCCCCGCCTTCCCCCCAGCATGTCTCTCCCTGATGTGCCCATCCCCGCGGCTCTCTCTGATTGGGCAGCGCAAGCAGCTCATGAGCGTCCCGTTACAGATCTATTTATCGACCCCTTGCCCCCCAACTCCTCCCTTTCCTCCCCGTCGCCAGATTCCCCCCGCTCCCCTCGCTCCCCCCGCTCACCCCATTCCCCCCGCTCTCCTCACTACGCACACGCCCCGTACTCCCCCCCTCCACCTCACTCCCTACGCCCTCTGCATTCCCCACATTCCCAGCACTCCCCTGGATCCTCTCCCTCTTCACCTGTTACCCACCGGTCCCTAGGCTTTGATAGCAAAAGAAGCACAGGTACTGAAGCATACATGCAGCAGCATACAGCAGATCTGGGACAAGTACCCGATGAGACCTTGCACTCCCCTCCTCCTCCTCCTCCTGCTCCTGCTTCCTCCTCTTCGTCTCGTTTATCCCTGGGACTCCAAACAGCAAGTTTATCGCCATCCTCGTCATTGGCAGCAGTAGGAGCAGGAGGAGCAGGAGCAGAGGCAGGAGCAGGAGCAGGAGCAGAAGCAGCAGAAGCTGCAGATGCAGAAGGTGCAGCAGCAGAGGAGCAGTCAGGTCCCCTCTCACCCTCGTGCATGGCGGGACCTGCCCTCCCCTCCTTTTCCAGTGTCATGTCTGCAGCAAGCGGTGAGACGTTCTCACAGGACTTTAAACGGTACCAGCAGCAGCGATCCAAGAATGCTTCTGAGGCGCCTCTAAAGTCAACACCTGGCCTCCCTTCATTTTCCAGTGTCATGTCTGCTTCTAGTGGCGAGACGTTCTCACAGGACTTTAAACGGTACCAGCAGCAGCGATCCAAGAACAAGGAGCAGGGATGGGGGTTGGAGGCTGAGGGGATGGGTGAGGATGGGGATGGGGTGGAAGGCGGGGGGGAGAGAGAGGGGAGGGGTGTGAAAGGAGGTGGAGAAGGAGAAGATGGTGAGTGGAGTGAGGAGGATGATCTTGTGGGAGGTGTGCCCCTCTCTCTAATGAAGGCTCGTGGAGTGTCGTTGCCTTGTGTGCGCGCACCTAAGGTTAGAGGGGAGGACGAGGGAGAGGGGGAGGGGGGTCACGCGAAACGGGGAAGGGTGAAGTTAAGGGGGGGGAAGAGTTGGAAGTGGTGGTGGAAATGAGGACATAATGCGTTTTGTGTGGCTTTTGTTATGTAGATGGATAGAATTGTTTGACACCATTTTCCCAGATTCAAGTAGTAGCAGGTCAAGTTTCAGGTTAGTGGTCCTTACGGTTCTAGGTTCTCAGTTTTTTGTTAGCACTATGTGTAGATCTGTAGGTATACGATTTCCACTTACCGCTAGCGATATCTCATGTACCAGTTTGGGATAATCTGTCAGCTCAGTGAGAAATCTCTGGCTGAAATTTGTTACGAGGCCTGTTTGGTGTGCTCTGAGCTGAGTGTGGTGATTTCTCCCATCGTTCATGCTGGCTCAGTCGCTGACCACTCACTACCGATCACCACTGCTCATGACCGCTCACAATTTACCGGCCAACTAACTGAATGCTTGACATTGATCGTTGATGCTCCTCCCGGTTTTCCACCACAACTGCTTTTGTCAGACACGCATACAGTACCAAATACAGAAGGTAAACTGAAGGAGAGTGATGCTCCCGGTTTTCCAGTCACTCTGATACGTAGCGCTGCTGTCCAACTGATAACCGGAAGGTTGTAATCAGTCGAAAGTGAAGAAAAATATGTGCCTTTTTGGCTTCCCTTTCCTCAATTTTCGCGACGCGGTTGTCTGACCTACCTGACGAGCGCCTGAATGATGGAGCGTTTAGGGATTGCCGCGAAGGCTGGAGCTTGATCAGGGACATAAAGCTCTCGTGAAGCTCACTCAAACTAACTAGTTGACTGACAATAGCTTTTAGCCTGTCATTGTCGCTGTAGGCGTGGTCGCATACGTCGTCGCATACGTTTCCGCGAGGATCGCAGGTATCGCACCGGGATCGCTGAGGGTTTCTCTTGGTGTCCTCCTGTCGTTCCCTGGTGCGATCACCGGCAACGGTTATCGCCGGCTGCAGCATGGTTCAGGTCGGTTCCATTTCTCGTCCTTACTACCTACCTTCGCCCATGTACAATGTCTTAGGTGCCTTGAAAATCGTCATAGGACTAGAAAAAAAAAATGGTTCTCGTTTCGTGTGACTACATGACTGCTTGATGCTGTTTCCACCATCATTTATCCCCGCCGGCAGCACGATCCACGTCAGTGCCATTTTACCATCCATCTCTCCACCATGTATCCAATTTAATCAATGACACAGTTTCCGCCTGCTCCTGAGGTCTCCGTTTTCTCTTCGTCCTCACGCAATTTCGCTTCTTTGAACTTTCCGTAACCTAATTTTCTGCTTTTCCCTCCCCCATTCTTCCTCCCCTCTCCCCTTCCTTCCCCCCTGTCAGTACCCCATACCCCGGCTGCGCACCCTAGCAGAAAAGCTCCGCCTACCCCCCGCCGCGCTGCCATGGGCGCTGCTATCCCTCGCCGCCGTCGTGCTCATGCTCCTCGGGTCGCTCTGGACTTCCCAGCAGACCTCCGCGCGGCACGAGCAGATCGTGTCGCAGCTGCTCCGGGAAAAAGAGGCTCTTAAGCTTAATTTTGACGAGGTTATCACCAAGAAGTCGCACGGCCAGGCGGAATTGGACGGGCTTCGGCAGCAGGTGGCGAATCTAACGGAGGAGGTGGGGAAGAAAACAAAGGAAGCGGCGGAGCTTGCGGCTAAGGCGCAGCAACTAGCGTCCGATCTAGACAAAGCTAAGAAGGACACGAGCGCGGTAGACGGATTAAAAAAGGACATGGAGGAACAGAAGAAGAAGCTTACGGAAGAGCAGCAGGCAGCGGCGGCGAGAGCAGCTAAGGCAGAGGAGGAAGCGAAGAAATGCCGAGAGGAAGCAGCAGCGAAGGAGAAGAAATACGTGACGGACGTACGCGAAGGGAAGGCTGCTCCGCCAGGAGCGGAAGAAATCGCAGATCTGCTAGATCTATCCGTGAACCTCACGCAGCGGGTGCTGAAGCTGGAAGGCGAAGCGACCGCGGAGAAGTTCGAGACGGAGACGAGAATACGGACGTTGCTAGAGCAGTCGGTCGGGAGCACCGCGGCGTATCCGGAGGCGCTGCGGCAGGATTTAAAGACGACGCGCGACGCGTGCGTTCGCGCGGGGTACGCGTCGACGGAATTAAAACGAACCGTGGCCGATCTGTCGATATACAAGCACAAACAGAACGTCGCAGCCGCGGCTGCTGCGGCGGGGAAGACGGCGGGGGCAGCGGCGGCGGAAGGGGAGGAAGAGCCCGCAGGGCCACTGGCTGTCTGTCGCTCAGCGCGGTGCAAGGCGACAGACGAGGAGCTAAGTCGGTTTATGAACTACACGGAGAAGGAGGTTTGCCCGGACGACTGGCATTTCGTCCAGGAGTTAATTTTCGACCGCAGCTGCCATTCCCTGCCGCGGCGCCGCTGCTTCGCGGCGAATTTCACGGGGTTCGAGGACCCGGTGCCGTTCCCGAACGCCCTGTGGAACGAGAGTGCGCTCATGGATACCAACGTCAACTGGGAGCACCATTCCTGCAAGTCGTTTGCATGCTTGAAATCCGGTCCGGGGCAGGTGAATGACTGTAAGGACTGTTTTAATCTTGATGTGGAGAAGACGAGGTGGAAGGGCGGGATCAGGGGGACTATTTCCATGGAAGAAGTTTTCCATCTGACCAACAACACGCTCCGCATCGGGCTGGACATTGGCGGCGGCTCGGGCAGTTTTGCTGCCCGGATGCAGGAATTCAACTGCACGGTGCTGACCACGGGGAAGAACTGGGCCAGTCCCAAGGAGAAAAACTCCACAGAGCCTACGGGGGTGCCGTATATGGAAGCAGTGGCAGCGCGGGGGCTCGTGCCGCTGTATCTGCCGTTCTCGGCGCGGTTACCGTTCTATGACAACACGATTGATGTGATCCACACGGGCACGAGCATCAACGACGTGGATTTCGAGGAGTTTGAGGAGATGTTTTACGACTGGGACCGTGTGTTGAGGCCGGGCGGGGTCATCTGGTTCGACCTGTTTTACTCCCAGGTGGGTGGGTGGGCCAGCCAGGGGGGTTGGTGGGTGTGGTGTGGGGTGGAAAGGGGAACCACATGGTGCAGGCAGGTGTGGGTTGATTGGAGCGAGCACGGGGCGGCAAATTGTTCTTGTTGCAGGTTGAGAGTGGGGTTGGAGCTGACAAGAGAGGTGGGTTGGTTAGATGGGGAATGGACGGACCACATGGTGATCACATCACATGCATGGGGTGGAGTGAGCACGGAGGGTACTACATGGCACGGCGCAACATTATCCCTCTGCAGGAGGGTTTTTTGTGCCTTAAACGTCAACACAGGGCACAGAGGGAAGTTCGGAAATAGCACCCTTGGAAGAAAGGACGAGTGATGCTGCAGCAGAGAGGGGGTGAAGGTTTTGAATTTAGGGCTTTGGGGTTTTGAGGGTTTCATGGGTTTTGGCTGCTTGGGGTTGTTGGCAAGTTTGGAAAGCGTGAGGGAGGGAGATGCATATTAGGACAAGGATCAGGCTAGAGGCTCAAACAAGAGACAATGCAATCGAGTGAGCGCCTGAGTTATGCTCACAATATGTGAAGCAGGCACTGTGATTTTGGTGGCAATCAAGTGAGAACAGCGGTTGCTAGGGAGACCAACACTAGTTTTTGAATAGAATTTTCATCCTGATTGCTGCCCTTCTCATTCCCCAAGCACCTTGTGCAAATCCTTAGCTGTCTCATCCCTCTTCCGCTTGTGCACACAACAGCAGGAGCGCCTGTTCCACTGTTTCTTCAATCCTCTGCATCCTCTGCGTGTCCCCTCTAACCTGTACTGCGTTGCTGCTGCAGGTGCGCAAGATGCCGCTGTACATGGAGATAGTGGACATGTTTAAGTACGACCAGCTACACCGTGCTGTAACGCCGTCTCTGGGTGCTGCTGGCCTCTATGTGCACATGAGCTTTGTGCTGCAGAAGCCACGCCAGAGAGATTTCACCCTTCCCCCTCCTGAACCGTTTGAGTGAGTGGGGTTTTGTAGGAGGTAGGGGAAAGAAAGCGAGAGGAATTTGGTGGCACACACTAGATAGTTTTCTTCTTTTTGTTGTAGAAGGGAGGTGTTACAAAGGAAATACTGGATTGATTAGGTTGTGGTGGCCGTAGTTCTTTTTGCAGGAGCAAAAATGCAAAAGAATGGGAGATGCCTTATCTGCGGGATGTGCTTCTAAAGTTCGCTGGTGGTGTGCTTTGAAATATATCATTTCCTCTGATCAAGATTGGGATGAAGGCTTGTGATGTATAGATGTAGTATTGAAAAGATACCGAAATATTTTTAACCTAATCGGTAACTTGAGCTGGTTACCGTTTTTTCGTGCATGAACTGGGATGTTGCTTGTTGTCACACAGTTGAACTGGACAGCGAGGCCAGGCATGACAGACCCGCTGGACAGATCTGCCACGTCACTCCTGTTGATGCTCAATAAGCTCGCACACGTACTCGGTAGAGAGCTTGCCACGTCCCTAAATCGATTCCTCGGGGAAACGTGAGCCTTTGACACGTGCGCTCGGGCTGGCTTTGGACCACAATTCTCGCCCCAGAACTGCACCCTCTGCCACGAGAGGGTCTGCCTCCGTGGCCCGGAAAGCTCAGGACTGGAGACATTTTGACTCCGCGAACCAGATGGATGGTACACTCCATCCAGCAGCTGCCACGTCGGCATCGACATTGTCCTACAGTAGATGGTTTCACCATGTGCGAGGCCCCGCTTGTCTGCAACCTGGTGAACGCATCACTCCCACACCCGCTCGCGAAAGTACCTCCACAGAACACTTTCGCAGACCCTCCTGGGGCCTGGGGGTCAACTGGAGCCAGATATTTGGAAACTGAAAGTTTACGTCACCACTCTGTCGCGGAATTGCCGGTTCAACTCGCCCTATCACTAGTGTGCAAACGCTTTCTGCTTCTGCGCCTTGATTTCTCATTTGGAGCGTCCTTTCGTTTTGCGTGTTCTGTTCGCCATTTGTGTTGTGCGAAACACTCCAAGTTCCCGCCAGAATCAACTTTTGACTGCCATTCACACAGCCATAACAAGCTTGCCAGTCAAACCTGCCTTTACTGCAGCATTGCCTGTTTCTTTATCCTGGCTGCAGCAGCTCAGGATTTGGTCGCTTCCCCCATAGTGTGAAGCACCCTGGGCTACACTTTCCACGGCCGCTAGGAGTAAGCCTATCCACGTCGCTCAGCTGATTCCCAGAAAAGCCACGTTGTGCGTCGGCTGCCAGAAACCCGCCGTTCTCGCCATATTGAGTCATAGCCTCCGTGACTCACGTAGGGGAATATTAGATTCGACGAGAAACAGCATTGGCCTGAAGCTGTGAAGGACATTAGGTGTCGTTCATCGTGCAACAGTAGTTGTCAGCGTCTCACATTCAGCTGACAGCTTGTCCAATCAAGCAACTTCCCTGCAATGGCGTCCATATCAGTTTCCGTGGGATCAGCCCTTCCAGTGAGGCAATCTGACTCTATCCTCTGCTCACAAGGCGTCGGCCGAGGGTCCGAATCAGCCGACACAAGGCGAGTTGGCCTCTCCGCGTGGGACAATGGCTGTGCCGGAAAGAAGCTCCCTTTGGCGGCATCCCGGCTGTTGCGACAGAGCCGATCCAAGAGCAGGACTGTCGCTCGTGTCACCCCAACTCTCTCCTCTGCTCAACCAGCTCCTTCCCTAGGTACGTTGTTCACACTGGAAACACGTGTGTTGTTTTTGTGTGAGCACCTGGAATGACGCTAGTGTAGAGCTTAGGAACCTGTGTCTTCCGTTTTCCGGTGCATTCAGTGGCCGCATATTCAGTGAGCTCCTGTGACGTATTTTGTCATTCCTGGCTAGCAAATATCTTTCCAAGCTTGAATTACTTCGATTGCGTGTTTTTGTTGTCGTTGATTTTTGGTTGTTCTTTGGTCTATCAATGAAACCTGATCACCGTGTGCTCGACACCTGGTGTTTGTGCAGACAAGGAGATCAGCGTCGCGGTTCCGGACTTCTCCAAGGCCATTCCGCTCGGCCGTCACACGCTCAACGACCTAATTACCCCCGTGGAGAACGACCTTCAGATGCTGAACGAGAATCTCAAGTCGGTACGTATTTAATTAACATTTGCAGCATATTCACCCGTGTTCACTCCCGACTGTTTATGGATCGTTCAACCCCGGAGTCGTTATAGATTGTCGAGTCGCGAAGGTGAGACGGAGAGTGGACTGCGTCTTTGTGAAAGAAAGGAGAATGTATTGTCAATTGCTTTCAATAATGCCGAGGCACTTTCTATAATATGCTTCTTTCTTCGCGTACGCACCATTTTCTCCTGTGAAGTAGTTCCGGCTTGCTTGTGATTCCTAGTCACTCCGTTCTCTCGCTATCCTCATCTGTTTCTCCCCGTTTTTCTCCCTTTCCTACCTTCCCGTACCCTTACGACCCTTTCCCCGCTTCCTTTTCGTTCTCCACCTTTTCCCCCTCCTCTCGCGCCCATCAATGTTCCTTCCGCCGATCGAAGGTCGTGGGTGCACGTCACCCGGTCCTCATGTCCGCCGCGGAGCAGATATTTGGAGCGGGCGGCAAGCGCATGCGTCCCGCGCTCGTGCTCCTCGTGGCACTCGGCACGGCGCAGCTCATGGGTCTTGAGTAAGTGCTCGCGCCGCTCATGCCGCGTGTGCTGCTTGCATTGATAGCGCTGCTCGTGTTGTTTATTTTGCTCGCGCCTTCGTGCAGCTCGTTCTTCTCGTGCTCTTCGCGTTCACGTGCTCTTGATGTTGCTCGAACTGCTCATGGTTCTGGCCCGCTCGCTCGCTTGCCTTCTTGCTTTGGTGATCACGCACGGATTTGTGCTATGCGCTGTGATTCTGCTGAATTTCTTGCGCGTACGGAAAACGCAAGGTATATCAGGTAACTGAAAGGAAGGCCTAGGCACGCCTCACTCACCCCCGTGTACTCTCTGTCCCCTCCCCTTTCTTTCCCCCACCTCCCCCGTACCCCTCCCTCCCCCCTTCCCCCACGTCTCCCGGTACCGCAATCCGTCTCTGCTACAGCGGAATCCAGCCGAAGCAGCGGCGGCTGGCGGAGATATCGGAGATGCTGCACACGGCGAGTCTGATGCACGACGATGTGCTGGACGACAGCTCCCAGCGCCGCGGCAAGGCCACGGTGCACCAGCTCTACGGCACGCGCGTCGCCGTGCTCGCGGGAGACTACCTCTTCGCGCAGTCGTCGTGGTTCCTCGCGAATCTGGACAATCTCGATGTGATCAAGCTTATCTCGCAGGTATGAGGCCGGGCTGGGGTGCGTGCGTGCTGAATTGTAGGTTGGCTAGGCTTTTCTTAGGCCGGGGTCGGCTTGTTTGGAAAACTCTCAAGAAAAGCCAGATCCAGTTCGAGAGTGTTTTTGAGTCGGCTCTAAAGTCAAGTCGAGCCTTCAGAAAATCTATCTCCTGTTTGGGAGTTGTTGGCTGGGCGTTGTTAATATAGTGAGGATGGCCGGAGGTGGTTGGCGCTTGTAGCTTGCTTTCAAGAGCATGGAAGAATTGTGAATGCTGAGAGGGGGTGCGTCTAAAGGGCCTGGAGAAACGGAGCACGTGTGCAAGACAGTGGGACCGGGGCCCCATGAGAGAAGCACGGTCGTGAGGTGATCACTGGAATGGATGAAGTGGGATTAGGGCAAGTCATCTAGAAAGCTGGGCGCCTTTTTCCCACCGACTCTCCTCCCCTCCCCACCCCACTCCGAGCAAAGCCAGATCCGCCCCTGGCTGGATCTAGCAGCCATGGGATGGGTTCTTCTTTTGTTGCTGCCCTGCCTCTCCGGGCCCCAACCGTGCCCTCCTCTCTCCGCCCTCTCCCCTCCACCCCCCCACCTCCAGGTGATTGCCGATTTCGCGAACGGGGAGATCCAGCAGGCGGCTAGTCTGTTTGACGCGGAGCTGACGTTTGAGCAGTACACGGAGAAGAGCTTCTTTAAGACCGCCTCGCTCATTGCCGCCAGCACCAAGTCCGCTGCTATCACCCTCTCCTGCACACCTCCTCGCCCCAATTGCCTCTTCCCTCCTGCTCTCTTTCAGTCCCCACCCCACTCAGGCCGGATCTGGCAGGTGTGGGTGCAGGTTCTCATTTCTTCCGCTCAGTTTCCACCCACCTCTCTCACTCGCCATCTCCCCTCCATCCCTGCACCTCCAGGTTATCGCCGATTTCGCCAACGGAGAAATCCAGCAGGCGGCGAGTCTGTTTGACGCGGAGCTGACGTTTGAGCAGTACACGGAGAAGAGCTTCTTTAAGACCGCCTCGCTCATCGCCGCCAGCACCAAGTCCGCGGCTATCTTCAGCGGGTGCCCGCCTGAAGCCTGCAGCGCCATGTTTGACTATGGCAAGCACCTCGGGCTGTCCTTCCAGGTGCGTTGTGTGCTGCAGGTGCTGCTGCTGATGGTGATGGGTATGGTGATGTAGTGATAAACAAATGTAGCACTGACATCCGACGGTTTTGTTAGGTGAGCGGTTCTGTCCCTACACCTTCCTCCCCTCGTTCACCTCTCATTCCTCCTTCACCTCACTTTCCTGCTTCTCCTCCCTTTCCTCCTTCGCCTCTTTTCTCCTTTTCTCTCCTTCACTTCCCTTTTTTTTTGTATCCACTCCCACTCAAACGGTGGAACACGTGATCAAAACGGACACCTCCATGCGGCAGGATCAATGTGACTATGTGGCAATGTGATACAGGCAACAATTTCCTTCACATGACATCACCAAATTCCTCTCTCCACGCGCACATCCTCTCCTTCCCCCTCTCCCTCTCCCTAACCCACACCCTCTCCCTCTCCCTTTCCCTCCCCCTCTCCCTCTCCCTTCCCCCCCCCCTCTCTCCTTCCTTTCCCTCTCCCACTCCCTCTCTTTTTCCCTTTCCCCCCAGCGCCCTCTTTCAGGTGATAGACAGTACTCTGGATTTCACCCAAACAACTGAGCAGCTGTGAAACTCTCGGGTCGCCTCTAAAATTCGCCCCCACTCTCCTCCCCCCGCTCCCTCTCTCAGGTGGTAGACGACATTTTGGATTTCACCCAGACGACCGAGCAGCTGGGCAAACCTGCAGGTTCGGACCTAGCCTCGGGGAACCTCACAGCCCCAGCGCTCTTCGCCCTGCGTCACCCCACCATCGGCTCCCAGCTTCGGGAACTGGTAGACAGCGAATTCGTGGAAGAGGGATCCCTAGAGCAGGCAGTTGAGCTGGTGCTGGCGAGTGGAGGCGTGGAGAAGGCTAGAGCCATGGCTGAGGAGCATGGGAGAAGCGCCAAGAGGTCTCTCGAGATTCTTCCGGAAGGGGAGGCCAAGAGATCGCTATTGGGCATGGTTGATTATGTGCTGGAGAGGTTGTTTTAGAGGGCGGGTGGATGATGGATGGACGGATGGGTGGATGGGAGGAGCATGGGAGAAGCGCCAAGAGGGCTGTTGATTTGCTTGGGATGCCAAGCGGTCATTAATGGGCATTGTGGATTTTGTGCTGGAGTGGTTGTTTTACCGCGGGGGTGGATGGATGGATTGACAGATGGGTGGATGGGAGGAGCATGGGGAGACGACAAGTGGGTTCTGGAGATGCTTCCGGAAGGGGATGCCAAGCGGTCATTAATGGGCATGGTGGATTATGTGCTGGAGAGGTTGTTTTAGCGCGGGGGTGGATGGATTGACAGATGGGTGGATGGGAGGAGCATGGGAGGACGACAGGTGGTCATTATTGGGCATGGTGGATTATGTGCTGGAGAGGTTGTTTTAGCGCGGGGGTGGATGGATATGGATGGATGGACGGGTGGTGGGTGGATGGGTAGAGAGAGAGAGGGAGAGTGGGCGTGGCAGGGCTGGTTGGCAGTGCTGGTTGGTGTGTTGCTGTTTGTTAGGTATTTAGAGTTTGTTGCTCATTCTCTCTTTCTGGTGTCAGGCGTTCTTGTGTCTCTTGAGTATGCCGAATGTACCATGTTTCCTTCCCGCTGCTGACGCTTCTGTGGGGGAGGGGGATACAATTGGCAGTTCAGCCCAGGAAGAAGCGGGAGAGGGCGGGAGCATGGGGAGTCAGTGTTGTGGGGAGGGAGTAAAGGAAGAGCATCTTGGGACAGACTTGAAGAGTTAGGTGCTGCTGAGATAGACTTGGTGAATCGGGAGAAGTGTTATGCTTTCTGTCCTGTTAGGTGATTGTATATAACATTGTCCCACTGATCTGATTATTTGGAACTGTTTTTCTTTTACAATCATGTGTACCTTGAAGGCAATGTATATGCTAAACAACATAGTGGCTACACTCGATACTCTTTCGTCATCAAACTGACAACAAAGTGGCCTGGGCTAACCTCGCGAAAGTGAAATCCCCACCTGAAATAGTACCATAACTCAATTTCCTCCACATGCTTCATATTAGGTTACCAGTGATTGGTAATTGTATAACCTGTATAGGCCGTCACCATAGGTAACCATAAACCATAAGAATTTCTCATTTTACCCATTACTATGGCTCACTCAACCCTGCACAACTACGCACCTACGTGGTAGTAATGATGAGAGAGAGGCAAAGGTGCTAGCAGTAATGCCAGACCGCTGGCACTAGTGCTTCTTGCTGGACCGGGGAGGCAACTGAGAGGACACATGGAAGAGAACGGGTGACGGGGAGAGAGGGGGTGGCGGGGAGAGAGGGTGAGAACGAATAAGAGAGGAGGAAAGGAGGGAAGGAGTGAGGCGGGGAGGAGAGGGGAAGAGAGGGGAGGAGGAGGGAGTGATGGAGCCAGGGGAGGCGGCAGTATGTATGGAGAAGGCACAGATACGGGAGAGAACGTCGACGAAGGAAATAACAGAGGGGAAATGGCACAGTTTGAGTGGGATTGATCCACTGTGGGTGGACGCCCATGCACGTGGCAGCACAGAGCGGGCGTATAGAGATGGTGCGAGCGCTGCTGGTGCTGGGGGGAAAGACACGCGTATCAGCACACTCCCCCCCCCCCCCCCTCCCCTCCCCCCCGCTTTTCCCCCTCTTCCCCATGCGTCTCTGGCTGACCTTGGGTGGGCGTCGGAGCATCTCAACCACGCTGTACAGCCCGTGCACCCCCACACCCGCCCCCACGCACCAGTACCCCTGCATCTGACCCTTGTTCCCCGCCTTCCCCATGCGTCTCTGACTGACCTTGGGTGGGCGTCGGAGCATCTCCACCACGCTGTACAGCCCGTGCACCCCCACACCCGCCCCCACGCACCAGTACCCCTGCATCTGACCCTTGTTCCCCGCCTTCCCCATGCGTCTCTGACTGACCTTGGGTGGGCGTCGGAGCATCTCCACCACGCTGTACAGCCTGTGCACCCCCACACCCGCCCCCACGCACCAGTACCCCTGCATCTGACCCTTGTTCCCCGCCTTCCCCATGCGTCTCTGACTGACCTTGGGTGGGCGTCGGAGCATCTCCACCACGCTGTACAGCCCGTGAGCCGGCCCGTATGCCTGCGCTATGTCCAGAGGGGTGCGCCCGTCCTGCACGGGGGGGCAGGGGTAGGGGAAGGGGAAGAGAGGGGAGGGGAAGAGGGGGGACGGGACGGGGGGAGGGGTTGACACAAAACCAAGGGTACAGCCCATGAGCCGGCCCGTATGCCTGCGCTATGTCCAGAGGGGTGCGCCCGTCCTGGATTGTGGGACCGAAGGAAGGGGAAGAAGAGGGAGGGGTTACCAGGGGTAAGGCCCGTGCGCTGGTCCGTATGCCTGTGCTATGTCCAGAGGGGTGCGCCCGTCCTGCATGGGGGGACGGGGGGGAGGGTGGAGGGAGAAAGGAGAGGTTGCGGGCTGAAGTTTCATTGAGAGGGAGAGTCAAAACCACGAGTACTGTGTGTAACAAATCAACCATTGAGGGGCCTGCAACAAATCAACCCCTCCACCCCTGCTCAACCTCCCAGTCCCTCCTCGAACCCCGAACCTGGCCTCTTCTGAGGCGCCTCAAAAGGAACCTGGCCTCTTCTGAGGCGCCTCAAAAGGAACCTGGCCTCTTCTGAGGCGCCTCAAAAGGAACCTGGCCTCTCACTCTCCCTCACAATTTCACCCTACTCTCCATCTCCCCCCCACACCTGTACTTACACGCAGAACCCCCACCCTGAGACGCCTCAACCCCCACCCTACCATTTCCCTCCTAGTCCCCCCAAACCTGAACCTGTCCCCCCACGCTCCCTCCCAATCCCCACCCTACTCCCACCTCTTTCCCCCACCCACCTGTGCTTGCACGCGTGTCTTTCCCCCCAGCACCAGCAGCGCTCGCACCATCTCTATCCGCCCGCTCTGTGCTGCCACGTGCATGGGCGTCCACCCCCACTGGAGGCCATGGGTGACGCGAGGGGAGGGAGAGGGGAGGAAGAGAGGGTTGGAGGTTACGGAGCCAGAGGGGTAGGAGGGGAGAGCAGAGCTCGCACCATCTCTATCCGCCCACTCTGTGCCGCCACGTGCATGGGCGTCCACCCCCACTGGGAAGGGAGCCATGCGTGATAAAAAGGGAGATGCGAAAAGGGAGGAAGAGAGGTTACAGGGAGACGGGGCCTCGACCCCCACTGGTTTCCGCAGGTGATCCGAAGGGGATAAGGGTAGGGGTTGGAAGGGCGTGAGACGAGGGAATAGATTAGACAAGTGATATTTTTCTACTAAAGAATCAGCTCAGGGATGATATAAGTATTGCCAATATCACACCACTTCCCCATCAGGTGTGGGGGGGGGCACCATACTACGGCCCATCGGCTATCCCCTCAGCAATGGCAGCGGCATGGCTATCCCACAGTGGCATGGCATGGCAGGCATGGCAGGCATGGCATTGCATGGCATGGCATGGAATAGAATGGCAAGGCATGGCAGGGCATGGCGTGGCAGCAGTACCTGGTCGGGAGCGTTCACGTCAGCTCCCTTCTGCGACGTCTCAGAAGTTTGAAGACAAGTTTTAAGACGTCTCAAAAACCCATAGCAGCAGTACCTGGTCGGCGGCGTTCACGTCTGCTCCCTTCTGCAGCAGCAGCCGTGCCATCTCCACGTTGCCGGTGCGCACTGCATGGTGCAGCAGCGTGGCTCCGTGCTGTGGAGTGACAGGGAGAGCACAGGGGTAGAAAACAGGGTTCGCAGCACAGATCAGGTGTTAAAAGTTGAGGGGCAGGCAGGCAGGTAGTGGGAAAGGGAAGGGGAAAGAGGGAAGGGGCAGGCCGATCTTGAGTCATTCTGGCAAGAGCGAAGGTGACAGGTGCGAAACCTCTTCTGCAGCAGCAGGAAGCAGGCACGCAATCTCCGCATCACTGCGTGCTGCAGCAGGATGGTTCCGTGCTGTGCTGCGGTGTAGCAGGGAGGAAGACGGGAGGGGGGGGGGGGATACGGAACAGACAAGCTTTCCATACTGACAATGCCTTTTGCAGCAACGGGCAGCAGGATTTCGGGGAAGCGATGGAGACGGGAGGGGCAAAGGGGGAAGGAGGGAGGAGGGTGGAAAGATAAGGCAGAAGGGCTAAAATAATAACAATTAAAAACATCAAATCGTTCCCTGAATCCGCCCGCCCCTGCATCTCTCTTCCCGGTCGAGGTGTGCAACAAACCCAAACCCACACACCACACTTCCCCTACCAAAGCCCCCCCACCCCATACCCCACCCACCTGGTCGCGGATCTCCAGGCTGGCTCCGTGTCGCAGCAGCAGCTTCGCCATGGCCGATCCCCATCTCTCACTAACCCCACCCCGTCCCCCCCATCTCCCCCCCCCTTCTCTCTCCTCCCCACCCACCTGGTCGCGGATCTCGAGGCTCGCCCCGTGCCGCAGCAGCAGCTTTGCCATGGCCAGCCGCCCCCCTGCCACTGCGTGCTGCAGCGCTGTCGTGCCGTCCTGATGATGAGCATGAGGGGTTACACACAGGAACATGCATGTGGGGCACAGGGGTTTCACACCATGGCCAGCCGCCCCCCTGCCACTGCATGCTGCAGCGCTGTCGTGCCGTCCTGATGATGAGCGTGAGGGGCACACACACAGTGGGGTGCCTCAAATCAAAACTAGCCATGAGCGGCCGTGCCACCTTGTTTTACTGCGCCATGTGCCACCTCGTTTTACTGCGCCATGTGCCACCTCGTTTTACTGCGCCATGTGCCACCTCGTTTTACTGCGCCTCAAAAACAGCCATCAACACCCATGAACAGCCACGAACACACTGCGCTCAAATGCGTTCCATCATATCAGTGAGTGGGTGAGTGAACGACGTAGTGAAGTGAGTAAGTGAAGGAGCGAGCGAGTGAATGAGATAGTCACCACCAGCAGCAGCAGCAGCACCACCACCAGCACCAGCAGCACTAGCAGCACTCATCGCATCAAGCGCGTCAACAGCAGCACCGCTGGCGAGCAGGTGGGTAACAAAGGGACTCTGAAAGGTGCCTCAACCCCCCCCCCCCCCCACCTACCACCACCCTTCCCACCAGCAGCACCAGCAGCACTCACCGCATCGAGCGCGTCAACAGCAGCACCGCTGGCGAGCAGGTGAGAGACAAAGGGCGTCTGGCCCGTGGCTGCCATGGTGTGTAGCGCCACCCACTTAGGCTGTACCCGGGGGAACGAGGGGGGGGGGGGAGAGGAAGGGTTGGAAGGGGCGGAAAGGTTGTAAGGCCGGCTGCCATGCCATGGTGTGTAGCGCCACCCACTTGGGCTATAACCCACATCGGGGGGAAAGAGGGAGGGAAGCAGGGGAAGGGAGGAAAGGGGAAGCAGGTGGAAGGGGTGGAAGGGTTGAGAGGCATCTTTCTAGCTTGCTAGGGACAAGGAGGGGACTACTACTACCATGTGGTGTGGTGTGGTGTGGTGTGGTGTGGTGGTAGGTAGGTGCTTGCTAGGGACAAGGAGGTGACTACTACCACCATGTGGAGAATTCTCAAAAAACATAAGCTTGCTAGGGACAAGGAGGTGAGTACTACTACCATGTAGTGTGTGGTGGTTGGTAGGTGCTAGCTGGGGACAAGGAGGTGACTACAACCACCATGTGGTGTGGTGTGGTGGTAGGTGCTTGCTAGGCCTGCCTGCCTGAATGCCTGGTCGTGGTGAGCTTTGAGTCGACTCAACACTCGTCGTGTTAAAAAGATTCCCTTTGACGCTGTGCAAGGAAAGGCGCTGCTTTCGAATGCATTCGACTCAGGAGGTTCCTCCGCGTTGTTAGTGAAAAGGGTGAAGAAAGGGGACGTGACGTGAGGAGGGGGCAAGGGGGCGTTTCTTCTTTCTTACCGAAGAGGCCATCACCACGTTGCTTGCACGTTCTGAGACGCACTCAAAAGAGCCGAGGTACATCAAAAATCGTCTCGCTTACGGAAGAGGTCATGACCACGTTGGTTGCTGGAGATCGCTGCTTGGGCGCCCCCTCCGCTGCTGCTTCTTCTCCCACCTCTGCTGCTGCTGCTGCTGCTGCGGCTGCTGATGGTAATGTTGCTGATGTGGCTGCTGCTGCTGCTGCTGCTGCTACTCCCGCTGCTGCTCGCTTGCCCAGCTTTTGTTATAAGCGGCATGGCCAGGAGGGGCAGGGGGGGGAGTGTGGCAGTGGAGCACAGCACATTGGGAACACGAGAAGGAAGGAAGTGATGCACAAGAGAACCGAGTAGAAGAAGAAAACAATAGAGCAAGGAAACAAAAAAACATCAGGTGAAAAGGGAGAAGAACTACTACTCTGGACCTCTGCATTTTGAGATGTCTCAACACTGGAAACAGAACCAGCAGGTGGGGCCGAAACTGGAAACAGAACCAGCAGGTGGGGTTGAAACTGGAAACAGAACCAGCAGGTGGAAAGAAAGGGAGAAGGAACTCACGTCCTCTGGGACCGTCTCTTCCAGTGCATCTTCCAACCAGTCCCAGTCTCTGGGAGAGCGCTGATGAAGGCCACCGGCCGAAACGCGCGTACGCTCAGGTTTGAATGAAGATTTCTTACCTACTCAGTCCCTACTAGCCTATAGCTCAGCCTAGAGAAGATTAGGACGAGTTACCTGCTGGATCCAGGTCGAAACTATCTCCGTATGCTAAAAGAAAGGGAGAAGGAACTCACGTCCTCTGGGACCGTCTCTTCCAGTGCATCTTCCAACCAGTCCCAGTCCTCCTCCTCCTCCTCCTCCTCCTCCTCCTCCTCCTCCACCTCCTCCTCGTCTTCTCCCCCCTCTCCGATCCGCCGCACCTCCGTCCCTGCCCTCGCGCCTGATCCCACAGCGCCCCTCCTCGCGCCATCATTACCTAGTGCGCCTGCTTTCCCCAACCCTCCAGCACCACCGAAAGTACCAGCACCGGCGCCAGCAGCAGCAGCAGCACCAACAACAGCACCACCGGCAGCAGCAGCAGCGTTGGCGCGGCGGGCAGCAACCTTAGCCTGCGCGTGCCTCCTCTCCCCATCCAACCGTTCCATCTTCCTCACCTTCTTCGTCTTACTCACCTCCTCCTGCACCCACCGCCACTGCTCCGGCACCAAACCCTCCCCTTCCCCCTCCTCCCCCTCTCCCTCCTTCTCTGGTGCTGTTGCAGGTGCCTCAACTCGTGCGGTATTGAGCATTCCCGTCCCTTGTTGCGACTGGCTCCCTTGTTGCGACTGCCACTTAGCACCCTCACCCACACCACTCGTTTCACCTGTCCACCCGCCCCCACCAACCCTGCCATTGCTGCTGCTGCTGCTGTTGCTGCTGGTGCTGCTGCCACTGCTGCTCACTGGAGGCGAGGGTTCGAATCCTGTTGGAGACAGATTCAGCACAGCAGGGTCCAACACGGCGGCTTTCAGAGAAACTGGCGCGAACATTGACAGATCATCCATGTCCACGTCATTCATGATCCAGCTCATCCCCGCCCCGGGATCCCCTTCCGCCGCCTCCTCCGCTTCCGCCACCCCCGGCGTTCCCCCTATCCCCGCGCCAGCGGCTGCGCCCGCATCAGCGCTTCCGCCAAAGCCCCTCTCCCGCGCGCTCCTGGGCAGTGGGTTGCGCGGGATTCCGGGGAGCAGATCTGCCTCCATGTCTGCCAGGTCATCCATGTCATCGTACACGTCATCATCATCCTCCTCCTCCTCCGAGTCGTTACCGTCGCTATACCCCTTCCCCCCTAACCGCTCCTGGCGGAAAGACTCCGCTTCTTTTCTCCCGCGACTTGCGCCGTCCGCAGGGTCCCTTCCGCCAGGCCCCTTGCGCCGGGGGAAAGGGGGAGGGGGCGCGGGAGAATTTCCGCCTTTCCGCTCATCGATCGTGCGCCCCTTGCGCTCCACTATTGGCTGACCGAATCGCCGCCCTTCGCGGCCAATCTGGTTGCCGAACAGATCGGACGGCGGCGATCCCGCTCCTCCACCGCGCGCGCGATTCCAATTTTGCTTGCCGCTATCTCCCCTTCCTCCTCCCCCTCCTCCCCCTCCTCCCCCTCCTCCCCCTCCTCCCCCTCCTCCGCGGCCGCCGCCACCGCCTCCGCCGCCGTAACTAGCGGTGCTGTTCGCGGAGCGCGCTGCGCGTGGTTGGCCGTCGTTGCGCTCGCTAGTCGCGGAAGGGGCGCGGGGAGTTTGCGCGAGCGACGAATCGAGAGCCGCGGGCGTGGCGGAAGAGAGGGGGCGGGTGAAGTGGGGGAGTTGGCGGAGGGCGATGCGCGGATGGATGTTAGCGGGAGTCGCGAAGCCAGTGGTAACCACCGCGTGGAGCATTTTGACCCGCATTTTCGCGAACAGACTCGGATCGCCACGCTCGTGGTTCGCGGGCACACGTGGAACGAAAGTGGAACGCTCGAGGTCCACGTGTGTAGTACTGTAGATTAAAGAGGTATGTGCGGGGAACCCGAAACCCCGAGAATTATGCAATTGAGCTAAGGTTTTGTAAACGCCAACTGTAGAATTTGGAGTGGTTGTTACCGGATCACTCCAAAAAGGATAGCACTGCTGTCCCAATGAAATTACTAAACCATAAGAAAGTGTATTTCTAACTAAAATACAGACATGCCTCCATAATCCTACAGGGGCCCGGGCGTCTATCTTAGCAAGAATAAAGTATCTGTTTCCCCTCCAACACATGTTCTTGCTGAGCTAGCTACTGCAAGGGTATTCGTAGCTGGGGAGGGAAAACGTACGCACGATGCTTCCGTCATAAACTGAGAATAAACTAGAAGCGGACATACAGGGGGGGGGTGTACAAGTAGCAATCCATACCCTCTACAACACAACCCAGCCTAGCCTAACTATGTACAACACAATTCAACATGAACACTTGCTTGCACCTGTCAAGAATAGAGCTAGGAATGAATGATTGAACTAGGCAAGAGGTGAGTACAAGTAGAGGAAACCTAACCCTAAAGTGTTGTACTCACTAAGGAGTGACCCTACTGTAGCCTAGAGATACAATTGTAATCTAACAGCACCCTCTGATCTGAGCATCAACACAAGCCAACTGAAAGTAGTCAAAGTGTGCCGCCAATCACAGTTTTTGCCTTCGATATCACCATCTTCCCGCAGAGCGCATAATCGTTCGTATCAGTCGCAACATGCCAATAAGAACCAGGATCCATAAACGTCTTCATAATATCTAAAGACTTCTGCAAATGCCCTGGCCTATAATGGTACCACTTATAAAAAGCGTAGCGCGGTTTACGACCTTTCTTGGGGGGCTTGGTCATGTTAACATACGAGACTTGCGGGTCTTGGTCCCAGGTAGTGCCCGCAGCAGTGCAGGATGTGCCAGAGTGTAGCACAGGGGTAGCTCCTGAGCAGAGTTTCCGGTATTCCCAATAAAGGCTGATGTAATATGCCCTCCGTGAAAACCTACACAGGGCATAGTAGAATTTGGTCGCGAAAGGGGAAGAGGTGCGGGTGGGGGGTTCAAAGGTTCGGTTAAGAAGAAGGGGACGGGGGCTGAAGATGAAAGATGGGAAAGGGAAAGATGGGGTGGGGATGGATGGGGGCCGGGCCCACTCGTTAGAGCGCAAATTTCCAACCTTTCAGTGACTACTACGGACGGACTACTAGTAGAGCAGCAGCAATCGAATCACACGGAAACGCACTCACTTCATAATCTTCCAGAAAAGTGTCCCAAACGCTCGTCTGTCGCCGATCACTTTCCCCTTGTGCTTAGTAGGACGCAATTTGACCCAATACCATTCTGGCAGTGCGAAGGGATAGTAAAGGCGCATGGGGACGGACGACGCATGAGTGTTAGAGGTACATGGGCACCACTGAATGAAGGCCTGATGATGGCATGGCATGCAGTGCAATGCGAACGAAACGCCGCATGCGAAGCCGTGGAGGCTCAATTGCTGTCAGCAGTGAAAATTGAAGAAGGCACTACTAGGCCGCCACATTTCGGTGCACGTGAACATTCTATAGATAACAATTGCTATTAGCAGCGATTATACTGTAGGAACACAGCGGTGCTGTGCCAGTGGTATACGAAAGGGCGCAACGTGCCTCGTTAAAAGCGGCTGCAGACTTACGATACGTGATCCCCGGACTATGGGTTGCTGCACTGATGTGGCTGACGCCGCCGGATGGCTTTTGAGGCGCCTCAAAAGACTTTCGATACGTGATCCCCGGACCATGAGTTGCACTGCCATGGTTTACGCGGCCGAATGATGGCGGAAAGATTGTGGCAGACGCGGCAGCGAAGCAAGCCGCACCTGATGGGCAAGGCAGCGTGGCACGAGGAAGCAGGTTGATGACATCCCACATGAGGGGTGATAGGCGTGACCTCTGACAACAGTGGCAACAGAATTGAACCGGGCGGCAGCGCAGTGAAAGCTGAGCACGTGGCGCCGCCGTCGCCGCCGCCGCCGCCGCCGCCGCATCGCCACACGTTTTACATGAGGAATTATGAAACTAGCACTGCAAATAAGGAGGATTTAAGTGCTTACAGATAAGGAGAGTTGTCACCGCGCGCTCCATGTTTGCCAGCGGTACTACTACTTCTACTGATTCTACTAATTCTACTAATTCTACTAATTTTACAAAGTCTACTAATTCTACTAATTCTGATTATGGAGGGGACTTCACGGAGTCGGAGAAAGGAAGTTTGGACTGAAGCGATGTGGTGGGACGAAGTGAATACTCCGTCACCCAGTCCGAGAGCGTTGGGGATGGGGAGGGGATCGATGGTGAGGGTCCACCAAGAATCTACTAAGCTACGGAGCTGCCAGGCGTTCAGCTAGAAGTAAGTCACTTTCTAGGTTTCTTTCGTGGGCTGCTGCATTCTTGAACTGGTTGGGTCTGCTGCACCATTTGTATGTCTGGTCTGGCCCAAATTGCGAGGCGCGCGGGTCTGCTGCACCAGCGTTGAAAACCGGTTCCTCCAGCAAGGGAAGTTGGAGGAGTACGGTAATATCGAGGAGGGCTGGGCCCAAGCACCAAGGGAGAAAACTGTGGACCAGCTGGGTGGGCGAAAACACGATTTGACGAAAATGTTAACGAAATCAGAACTCTCGTCTCGTCCCAGCCTAAACAAGATTCGACGTTTACGTCGGAAGGGTTGCGTAGAGTTGTATTCCTCGTATATGAACATAATGATGGAAATATTATGATTGAACATACGGAAAGCAAATTATAATGTTCGTCCATTTTATTTAGACTAGGACAAGCTTGCTGCTGATTCCTTCTAGGAAAAGATAATTATTACAAACAAAATCATTGCAATCTCCGATCTTTGGTTGGTGACAATTATCGAGTGGTTCTAAGGCTACAATCCTATTTCAAGAACATCATATAGCCAATGTGACAGCTTCAGAATTATATCACCTTAAGAATGTCACAAGCGAATAGGCCCAAAAAATTAGATGTTATTGTCACGAGAAAATAGTGTATCTTTTCCCTGCCAATTCGAATTCGACGCTGTCACTTCTTGGTTCTTGGTTCTTTGGTTCTTGGTTCTTGGTTCTTGATCGTATACTGGCGCTGTTCTTTTGGCCAAAAATGGCCTTCGCGGATTCTTCCATCCGCACCGGTGGTGCGTCGGTTCAGGTTGGGCACTGTCCGAAGCTGGGTGCATCAAGAAAACCGAGAAAACATGCAGAACAGCACTTTTGTGACACTGTACTAGAACCGCCCGTTTGTTCCACGCTAATTCCTCGCCAGGCAATTGGTCCGCACCGCTGGTTTGACCTCTTGAGGTGAAATCACCTCCGCACCACTGATAACGGGGCTGGAACAAAAAGCCAGAAAAATTGCTCAGGGCAGCTTGAACGCCCAACCACCGACCGAAATCAAATTTCAAGAAAATATTTTCTCGAGTCCTTGCTGCTCGAAACCTATGTGGGTGGAGGAAGGAAGGGGGGGAGAGGTTACCCTCCGTTCACATTTGTGCCAGACCGGGTTCCCGATGGGCAGACCCGAGTTTGGCTGAGTTGTTCAAACGAGAAGTTTACCTCGGTTATAACTGAACCTTCATGTGTTGCCAAGTCAACCAAAAAGGTACCTGAAGTTAATACGAAATTTACTAATCCACCAACGGTGCGGCGATGAGAACTCCAACAGAACAGCACCACCATGCCCTTTCCTCTCCCCACCCAAGGTGCTTCTCCCTCCGAACCCACCCATTCTCAATTCTGCAGTCGCGACTTACCTACCATCTGAACCAAACACCTTGCCGCCGCCACTCTCTCCCACCCAGCCGTCGCCTCTCCTCCCATCCCTATATCCTCTCCCTTACTCCGCCCCATCGCCTCTCCCTCTCACCCCGTCGTCGCCGCTCCCTCCCATCCCGCCATCGCCCCTCTCTCGCTCCCAGCCGCGGTCGCCTCTCCCTCCTCCCCGCGGTCGCCTCTCCCTCCTCCCCGCGGTCGCCTCTCCCTCCTCCCCGCGGTCGCCTCTCCCTCCTCCCCGCGGTCGCCTCTCCCTCCTCCTCGCGGCCGCCTCTCCCTCCTCCCCGCGGTCGCCTCTCCCTCCTCCTCGCGGCCGCCTCTCCCTCCTCCCCGCCGTCGCCTCTCCCTCCTCCCCGCCGTCGCCTCTCCCTCCTCCCCGCCGTCGCCTCTCCCTCCTCTCCGCCGTCGCCTCTCCCTCCTCTCCGCCGTCGCCTCTCCCTCCTCCCCGCCGTCGCCTCTCCTTCCCTCCCCGCCGTCGCCTCCGGCGACAGGTGCACGAGCGCAAGCGCGGGTTGGTGCACCAGCGCGGGTTGTTTTCTGAGGCACCGTTGTTATCAGGTGCGTTCCCGGTCCTTTCATCTACCCTTCCCCTCTGATTTTCTCTCTCTTTCTTTTTTGCTTCTTCGTAATTTTTGTGTATTAATTGGTCTCTTCTTGCATTGCACTTTCATTTTAAGAAGAGACGAGACGGAGCGAGAGGGAGAGCGTGTGCACGGGAGCGAACGCGTGAGAGAGCGCGTGAGAGAGGGCATGAGAGAGCGCGTGAGGAAGCGCGCGAGGGAGCGCGTGAGGGAGCGCTTGAGAGAGCGCGTGAGAGAGCGCGTGAGAGAGCGTGTGAGAGAGGGCGTGCGAGAGCGCGAGAGTGTGCGCGTGAGAGTGCGCGTGAGAGAGCGCGTGAGAGAGCGCGTGAGAGAGCGCGTGAGAGGGCGCGTGAGAGAGCGCGTGAGAGAGCGCGTGAGAGAGCGCGTGAGAGAGCGCGTGAGAGAGAGCGTGAGAGAGCGCGTGAGAGAGCGCGTGAGAGAGCGCGTGAGTGAGGGCGTGAGTGTGCGCGTGAGAGTGCGCGTGAGAGAGCGCATGAGAGAGCGCGTGAGGGAGCGCGTGAGAGATTGCGTGAGGGAGCGCGTGAGGGAGCGCGTGAGGGAGCGCTTGAGAGAGCGTGTGAGAGAGCGCATGAGAGAGCGCGTGAGGGAGCGCGTGAGGGAGCGAGTGAAGGAGCGCTTGAGAGAGCGAGTGAGAGAGCGCGTGCGAGAGCGTGTGAGAGAGGGCGTGCGAGAGCGCGAGAGTGTGCGCGTGAGAGTGCGCGTGAGAGGGCGCGTGAGAGGGCGCGTGAGAGAGCGCGTGAGAGAGCGCGTGAGAGAGCGCGTGAGAAGGCGCGTGAGAGAGCGCGTGAGAGAGCGCGTGAGTGAGGGCGTGAGTGTGCGCGTGAGAGTGCGCGTGAGAGAGCGCATGAGAGAGCGCATGAGGGAGCGCGTGAGAGATTGCGTGAGGGAGCGCGTGAGAGAGCGCGTGAGGGAGCGCTTGAGAGAGCGCGTGAAAGAGCGCGTGAGAAAGCGCGTGAGAAAGGGCGTGCGAGAGCGCGTGAGAGTGCGCGTGAGAGTGCGCGTGAGAGGTGCGTGAGAGGCGCGGGAGAGAGCGCGTGAGAGGGCGCGTGAGAGAGCGCATGAGAGAGCGCGTGAGAGAGCGCGTGAGAGGGCGCGTGAGAGAGCGCGTGAGAGAGCGCGTGAGAGAGCGCGTGAGAGAGCGCGTGAGAGAGCGCGTGAGAGCGCGCGTGAGTGAGGGCGTGAGTGTGCGCGTGAGAGTGCGCGTGAGAGAGCGCATGAGAGAGCGCGTGAGGGAGCGCGTGAGAGAGTGCGTGAGAGTGCGCGTGAGAGTGCGCATGGGAGACGCGTGGGAGTGCGCGTTAGAGAGCGCGTGAGAGGGCGCGTGAGAGGGCGCGTGAGAGAGCGCGTGAGAGAGCGCGTGAGAGAGCGCGTGAGAGAGCGCGTGAGAGAGCGCGTGAGAGAGCGCGTGAGAGAGCGCGTGAGTGAGGGCGTGAGTGTGCGCGTGAGAGTGCGCGTGAGAGAGCGCATGAGAGAGCGCGTGAGGGAGCGCGTGAGAGATTGCGTGAGGGAGCGCGTGAGGGAGCGCGTGAGGGAGCGCTTGAGAGAGCGTGTGAGAGAGCGCATGAGAGAGCGCGTGAGGGAGCGCGTGAGGGAGCGAGTGAAGGAGCGCTTGAGAGAGCGAGTGAGAGAGCGCGTGCGAGAGCGTGTGAGAGAGGGCGTGCGAGAGCGCGAGAGTGTGCGCGTGAGAGTGCGCGTGAGAGGGCGCGTGAGAGGGCGCGTGAGAGAGCGCGTGAGAGGGCGCGTGAGAGAGCGCGTGAGAGCGCGCGTGAGTGAGGGCGTGAGTGTGCGCGTGAGAGTGCGCGTGAGAGAGCGCATGAGAGAGCGCGTGAGGGAGCGCGTGAGAGATTGCGTGAGGGAGCGCGTGAGGGAGCGCGTGAGGGAGCGCTTGAGCGAGCGCGTGAAAGAGCGCGTGAGAAAGCGCGTGAGAAAGGGCGTGCGAGAGCGCGTGAGAGTGCGCGTGAGAGTGCGCGTGAGAGGTGCGTGAGAGGCGCGGTAGAGAGCGCGTGAGAGGGCGCGTGAGAGAGCGCATGAGAGAGCGCGTGAGAGAGCGCGTGAGAGGGCGCGTGAGAGAGCGCGTGAGAGAGCGCGTGAGAGAGCGCGTGAGAGAGCGCGTGAGAGAGCGCGTGAGAGCGCGCGTGAGTGAGGGCGTGAGTGTGCGCTTGAGAGTGCGCGTGAGAGAGCGCATGAGAGAGCGCGTGAGGGAGCGCGTGAGAGATTGCGTGAGGGAGCGCGTGAGGGAGCGCGTGAGGGAGCGCTTGAGAGAGCGCGTGAAAGAGCGCGTGAGAGCGCGTGAGAAAGGGCATGCGAGAGCGCGTGAGAGTGCGCGTGAGAGTGCGCGTGAGAGGTGCGTGAGAGGCGCAGGAGAGAGCGCGTGAGAGAGCGCGTGAGAGTGTGTATGAGAGTGCGCGTGAGGGAGTGCTTGAGAGAGCGTGTGAGAGAGCGCGTGAGAGAGGGCGTGCGAGAGCGCGTGCGAGAGCGCGTGAGGGAGCGCGTGAGGGAGCGCTTGAGAGAGCGCGTGAGAGAGCGCGTGAGAGAGCGCGTGCGAGAGCGCGTGCGAGAGCGCGTGAGTGTGCGCGTGCGAGTGCGCGTGAGAGGCACGTGAGAGAGCGTGTGAGAGAGCGCGTGAGAGAGCGCGTGAGAGAGTGCGTGAGAGTGCGCGTGAGAGTGCGCATGGGAGATGCGTGGGAGTGCGCGTTAGAGAGCGCGTGAGGGTGTGTGCGAGAAAGCGCGTGAGAGTGCGTGTGAGAGAGCGCGTGAGAGAGCGCGTGAGTGTGCGTGAGAGAGCGTGTGAGGGAGCGCGTGCGAGAGTGCGTTAGAGGCGCGGGAGAGAGCGCGTGAGAGAGTGCATGAGAGAGCGCGTGAGAATGCGCATGGGAGATGCGTGAGAGTGCACGTGAGAGTGCGCGTGAGAGTGTGCGTGAGAGAGCGCGTGAGAGAGCGCATGAGTGAGGGCGTGAGTGTGCGCGTGAGAGTGCGCATGAGAGTGCGTGTGAGAGCGCGTGAGAGAGTGCATGAGGGAGCGCGTGAGAGAACGCGTGAGAGAACGCCTGAGAGAGCGCGTGAGGGAGCACGGGAGGGAGCGCTTGAGAGAGCGCGTGAGAGAGCGCGTGAGAGAGCGCGTGTGAGAGCGCGTGAGAGAGCGCATGAGAGTGCGCATGGGAGACGCGTGAGAGTGCGCGTTAGAGAGCGCGTGAGAGAGCGCGTGAGAGAGCGCGTGAGAGTGCGCGTGAGAGTGCGTGTGAGGGAGTGCGTGAGAGAGCGCGTGAAAGAGCGCGGGAGAGAGCGCGTAAGAGAGCGCGTGAGAGAGCGCGTGAGAGTGTGCGTGAGAGTGCACGTGAAAGTGCGCGTGAGAGTGCACGTGAAAGTGCGCGTGAGAGTGTGCGTGAGAGTGCGCGCGAGAGAGCGACGAGAGAGTTTGCGTGAGAGAGCATGTGAGAGGGCACGTGAGAGTACGCGTGAGAGTGTGCGTGAGAGAGCGAGTGAGAGAGCGTGAGGATGAGTGGGTATGCGTGCAAGGGTGAGAGCGAGAGTGCGTGCGACTGTGTGTGCTAGGGTGAGTGCGAAAGCAAGTGCGAGTGTTAGTGCTAGGTTGCATGTGAATGTGTTTGCGTGCGCCTGTATGTTGGTGTGAGAGTGTTATTGTGAATGAGAACGATCAGGAGTGCGAGGGTTTGTGCAAATATGAGCGTGTACATTTGTATGTTTGTAAAAAAAATGAGAGTGTTTTAGCGTCTGTGTGGGTGCGAGATTGAGTACAAGAGTGAGGATGAAGCTGAACGCAAGGGTGGCTGCAAGGTATTGCATCATCCCGGCGAACTGTGGCACCACGACTGATACCAATTTCCATTGCTCGTCTTTGATTGATCTATACGTTTTCTATTGTTCTTATTTCGTTTCTAGTGCATGTGTGAGCTGCATTCTCTGTTTTTGTTTTCTTGTGCAATGCTGTGAGGTGTACTCTTTGTCTTTGCTTTCTACGGGTGAGTTGCGTTTCCTGCTTGGCCTCCTCGCAGGGCACGTTAGTTACAGTATATTTGTTATTGCTTTTCTGCACAGAGTGTGATCATTCTCTGTTTTTTCCCTTTTCTTGTGCAGGGTGTGGAAATTTATTTTCTGTTTTTGCTTTGTGCAGGGCGCGTGAGCTGCATTCTCTGATTTTGTTTGGCAGAGAAGGGAGATGAGGGAGGGGGTGGGAGGGAGATGAGGGAGGGAGGGAAGGAGGGGTGTAGGGAGGGTAAAGAAGAGGGGATAAGCTAGCGATGATTTATGAATGGTACCGTAACTGGATTCAATTCGTGATGGTTGCGTGTTTATTACCGGTATCTGTATGCATCTGTGTGTGTGTGTATGTGTGTATGTGTGTGTGTGTGTTGGGTGTGTGTGCTTGTGTCTATCAGTTGGTTGGTTGTGATTATTACAGGGTGTGGTGCTGGTATGCATCGTGTTTGCAGCTGAGGTTGTCATCGTCGTTGGGGCAGTGGGTTTTCACTGTCTCAACGACCCCATCAATCCCAGTTGTAGCATTGGTGCCTATTAAGCATCCATTTTGATGTCGTCACAACTTTTTTCGTGACGTTTGCATTCGTTTTTGTGAGATGTGTGTGTTTCAAGACGAGGTGTTCCAATGTATCGTGTATGCAACTAGTGTCAGATTACAATTGTATCTCTAGGCTACAGTAGGGTCACTCCTTAGTGAGTACAACACTTTAGGGTTAGGTTTCCCCTACTTGTACTCGCCTCTTGCCTAGTCCAATCCATCATTCCTAGTTCTATTCTTGACATGTTATCAGAGTAGAAACCGTTCCTACATGGGCCCACCGTTCCGCCTAGTGGTAGCGCCACGCCCTACACAGTAGCCAGCGCGCTGGCGCCCCTAGCTCTCACTGTCGCGACCCTTGCAGCCCGTGCGCTGCCCCTGCGACCGCGCTGCCCCTGCAGCCGTGCTCGCCCCTACGACCGTGCTGCCCCTTGCAGCCGTGCTCGCCCCTGCTACCGTGCTGCCCCTGCAGCCGCGCCTGCCCCTGTGGCCCGCGCGCTACTCCTCCAGCCCGTACGCTGCCCCTGCAGCCCGTTCACGCTGCCCCTGCAGCCGCGCGTCGCCTCTGCAGCCAGCCCGCGCGTCGCCCCTGGAGCCCGCGCGCCGCCTCTGCAGCCCGTCCTCGCGGACCCTGCAGCCCGCGCGTCGCCCCTGGAGCCCGCGCGCCGCCTCTGCAGCCCGTCCTCGCGGACCCTGCAGCCCGCGCGTCGCCCCTGGAGCCCGCGCGCCGCCTCTGCAGCCCGTCCTCGCGGACCCTGCAGCCCGCGCGTCGCCCCTGGAGCCCGCGGGCCGCCTCTGCAGCCCGTCCTCGCGGACCCTGCAGCCCGCGCGTCGCCCCTGGAGCCCGCGCGCCGCCTCTGCAGCCCGTCCTCGCGGACCCTGCAGCCCGCGCGTCGCCCCTGGAGCCCGCGCGCCGCCTCTGCAGCCCGTCCGCGCGGCCCCTGCAGCCCGTACGAGCTGCCTTTGCAGCCAGCGCGGCGCCCCTGCAGCCCGCGCGTCCTGCCCCTGCAACCTGCGCCAGCGCCCTGCCCTGCGCACGCTGACGCCCTGCCCTGCGCCAGCGCCCTGCCCTGCGCCCGCGCCCTGCCCTGCGCCAGCGCCCTGCCCTGCGCCAGCGCCCTGCTGTACCCTAAATATAATTAAATTGTTTATTAAAAAAAAAACAAACAAACAAAAACAAAAAAAAAGAGGACCCTAGGTGCTTCTGCCCTAGGAGCTACTGCCTACTACTGCCCTGATGTGGCCGCGCGCCGCCCTGCTCTGGCCGCGCGCCGCCCTGCTGCTGTTACTACTGCTGCTGCTCCTACTCGTGCTACTGGGAGTGGAGGAGGTGCTGCTGGGAGTGCAGGAGGTGCTGCTGGCGCTGTAGGAGCTGGAGGTGCTGGACCTACTCCTGACCGTCACTGTCTGTCATGGCCACTTCCGCGGCAGTTGCTGCGGCCAGGGGTGGACAGCAGCGGGCACTGCTTCTCCCGGACGACCCCACCCCTCAGCAGCTTCGTGAGTGGGTTATTCAGCGAGGTCGTCCTGGTGGTGGAGGTTATCGTTTTGTTAGGACTGCTGCTCTTGGTGTTAGTGAGTCTGCTGCCGCTCCAGGTGCTAGTGAGTCTGCTGCAGCTCTAGGTGCCCGTGAGTCTACCGACGCTCTAGGTGCTAGTGCGTCTACTACCACAGGTCCTGCCTCAGCTGAGGTCTTGCACACTTTCACGCTTGACTCAGGCGCGTCACGTTGCTTCTTCCGTGATTGCACCACAGTCACACCACTCACAGCACCTGTCCCAGTCTCACTGGCTGACCCCTCTGGGGGCCCAGTGGTTGCGAGAGCCTCCACGGTCCTCCCTTGTCCAGCAGTCCCCTCTGGTTCTTTGTCAGGTCTCCACCTCCCCACGTTCTCGACGAACTTGGTGAGCAACGCTGCCATTCAGGATGTCTGGGTTGATACCTTTATTCCTGGAGGGCAGCGTGTGGCGATCTGTACGTGCTCCCGGACTGGCCGTCACCTGGCTACGTTCACTCGTCAGCCTGGGTCTAGTCTGTACACACTGACCACTGCGTCTGCACAGGTGGCTGAGTCAGGTCAGGTAGCTGCGTCGAGTCGAGCGTCTGCGTCAGGGTAGTTAGCTGCGTCTTGCTCGTGCAGAGTACTCACGCACGAGTCTCAGCGCTGGCACCACCGTCTTGGTCATCCCTCCCTGCAGCGTCTGCGCGGCATGCACTCCCGGCTCCTGGTCTCTGGCCTCCCTGAGACCCTGCCCCCCCTCCCGCGCTCACTTGCGCC